ACATTTCTCTCTAATATCACACGAGCCGTCGTCGAACTCTATGCATTCTTCGACGATCTTATACACTTTCAGAGCGTGGGCATCCGACATGCGACGGCGGGAGTCTTCGTGAGATTGAAACACAGTATTAAGTTAATTTCTCTCTCAATGTGCTCTTATGTTCGCCTGATGTGGGGTTAGGGAGGACGATTTTCAATTTTGTTAGCCAAGGCCATGTTTGGGGTCAAATTTCGAACCTGTGAAAGTATCACTTATATAGTATGGCTACACCATCCTGAGTTTTACACTTGCACATGTCTTGAACGACACAAGAATCTAGTGGCATGAAAATGGCAGGACATGTGGCAGACAAGTGTCACACATCAAATGTAGTGTATACCATGAATAAGTTGTTTTATAACATTGAAGTTAATTATCAAATGTAGTGTTTTTGTTTTTTTCAGGCCTCTGTATTAATAGCCTGAAGAGTTCTTTTTTTGTATCTGGGGTAGATGATGTTCTCAAGGATAATATACAGTCCCTTCTTGGGTTTGAATGTGGATCACTTCCTATAAGGTACTTAGGAGTCCCACTTATCTCCTCTAGATTCACCTCTGATGACTGTAGAGGACTTGTTGAAAGAATCACTAAGAGGATAAGTCATTGGACTTCTAATTTTCTTTCGTATGCTGGCAGAATTCAGCTAATCCAATCCGTGCTCTATAGTATGATTAATTACTGGTCTAGCCTATTCGTTATACCTAAGGCTGTGCTCGCTGAGATGAACAACCTATTAAGGAATTTCCTATGGTCAGGCACTGATTTTAAGCACACTTTGGGCAGCATGCTGTCTTCCTAAGGAGTGTGGTGGACTGGGTTTCAGAAATTTAGACGTCGTTAATGTGGCTGCAGGACTGAGACATATTTGGAATCTTTTGACCAATCACAGGAATAGTCTGTAGGCGTAGTGGTTTAGAGTACAACTTATTAGGGAGCGCTGCTTTTGGACAATGAATATCCCACAGCCTTGCTCTAGCAATTGGAATAAAATCCTCCATCTAAGAGGTGTGGCAAGATCGATGATTAGATGGAAGGTTGGGAATGGATCTACAATTTTTTTCTGGGATGATATTTGGCTTGGTGATGGCCCCCTTTCCTTGATAGTCTCAAGGGATTTTATCGCTAACTCACCCATGTTACCTGATCAGAAGCTTGCATCCTTTCTTCATGATGGCCATTGGATCTTCCCTTAAGCTCTCACTGGCATTTTCCTGGACCTAGCTAGTATTTCCACACCAAGCTCGTCTGTTGATACGTTGGCTTGGGCGCCATCACCAACAGGTTTTTTCTCACTTAAGCACACAATTGAGTGGCTATCACTTCCTCACCAGCTGAAACCGTGGGCCCATCTCATCTGGAGCAATCTCTCAGTACCAAGATGCAAATTCTTTCTTTGGCTTGTTGTACAAAACAAATTGCCTACTCTTGATCGAAGCTGCATAAAATCATTCCATGGTTCAAGATGTTGTCTCTTCTGCAATTTGGTGGAGGAATCCCATAACCACCTGTTCTTCTCATACCCATTTTGATTTCACTACAAAGTAAGGGTAGATTTCACTTTCCCTCATCTTCTTGGAATGAAATTGTTGGAATAATATTGTTGATTAAGCTTCAGCTCAGTGGTTGAATAAGGGGCTCAGATCATCAATCAATAAGCTCTTGCTTTCCACAACTTGTTGACACCCATTTTGGTAAATTTTGTATTGATGACGTGACAGTAGAGAAGGGTGATATTCCACGTAGATTGAAGTTGAAATTACATGCAAAGATGGGAAGAGTATTTTGAATAAGTTGTGGATAAAGATAATTGTTTTAAGGCTTATTTTTTGGTTAGTTTTAGTTGCATAATTATGTTATCTATATGATTAGTTTATTTTGAATTAATAGTTGATTAAGTGATAGAGTTGTAATGCAAGTAAAATACTTGCATATAGGAGTTTGTTTTACGTCTACAAATAATGCTATAAGCATGCTTTGTAAGAGGTCCAGCACCCTCAGAATCATTATTATTATTTGTTTGTTTTCTCAAGCTATTCCAATAATAGCATCTTTGCTATTTCTTCTTTCTCTTTATCCCTATCTTCTTATTCTCGTTCTCTCTCTTTCCTTTTATCTCACTTTCTCTCTCTCTTCTTGCTATATCTATTTTCCTCCCCTTTCTATTCTCTCAATCTTTACTATAATTTTTCACTGATAAAGTCCTTTTAACTAAGGCAATTCTAAACTCAAAGAGGAGTTTTTATTGTTCTCTTTTTTCCTCGCAATCACTTGAAAGTCAACTTTCTCAAAGGGACTATAGTTGACAATTTACATTTGAACCATATATTTGGTTCTGGCACGCCTGGTTTACATCAAATTAAGATCGGATCTTAGGAACCGATTTTAGGGTCAACACAACCATCAACAGAATCTGGCTTGAGCGTAATAATCGGATCTTCAACAATCGTAAATCTTCACAAATTGCCATTTTTAGGGAGATCACTACCCTTGTTCGGCAACTGGAGTGGGATCTACCGGCCTTCATTCGTCCACCTCCAGAGCCTCCAGATCGGGTGATTTAGGGGTGTAGGCAAACCCTAATCTCTAATCACCGGATGGATGATATGGCTGATACATGTATAGTCTAAGGTTCACTTAGACTAAAAATGTCCTATGCTATATTGTCGGGCCTGGGCCTGTTGTTTTACTTTTGTTTGCTCTTGGATTGTAACCTTTTACTGCAGTTGCTGGCTGGTCCACGATCGTGGGCTTCCTCTGCAAATGGATTGTAATCTTTTGTACTTATTTATATAACTAACTTACCTTCCCAAAAAAAAAAAAAAATAAATAAATAAAGAAAAATGGTTTGTACTTTAGTCTATTGAAGAAAATTCTGATTGAAGCGACTTAACAAATGTCTGAAATAGTAACATTATTGAAGACAAACTAATAAAAACAGGTATTGTGGATTGTCTTATTCATTCATGACTTTTCATCCCAATTAGTTATTCGGAAGCTTCTTAATAATCAGATTATTTGACTAATGAAATTATAATTCAACTAAGTATTCAATTAAATTAAAAGTAAACAATTCAAGTGCAATTTTTCTTTTTCTTTTTTCAGATTCAGTAAAACAAATTTTTACTATAAATTGGATAAAGCCATTCTAGATGTGAAATTAAATATTATTCATCTAAACTTCTCCTTTTCCAAAATTGAATGTTCATTCCATAATTGAAATGCTAAAGTTTTCATTAATATTTATTAAATATATCATGATAAATTACACTTATCTACCCTCTAGTTATGGTTTATAAGTTATTACACTTATCTTCTCCTGTGTTTTGGATAATTATAGTTACCTCTATTCTAGTTACATGTGTGTATCAAATTCACTAAAAGCAAGTTGTGGTAAGTTTTTTTTGCTTCATTTGACAATTATGTTCTCCAAATTGCTATCAAGACACTTTTAATTCAATACCTATTGTGCAAAAAGATAAATATACCCCCAACTCAACATTTTTGACAATATAATTTTCTTTAGTTAGGGATATACTTGTCTTTTTACACAACAAATATTTGACAAAAGTGTTTTGCACAATAATTTCAAAGGTATAGTCAAAAAACTTGCTATATTAGCGTTGATCATCTTTGACTGTAGTGAAATTGATGACACAGGTCAATTTGTTACACAAATATAAGAGGGAGATACCTGTAATGATTCAAAATATAAGAAACATAAGTGTAATACAAACTAACTGAAGGGAATATAAGTGGAATTCATCAAAAATATTATGCCACTTTTTAGTGATAAGATCGAAAAGGAAGTGAAATAATATATATATACATGTGTAAGTTTCCCAAATCTGTATAAATATCTCAGTGGGACAGAATGAGTGGGAATCACGTCTTGTGAAATTGGAAGATACTGGATGGAACTCCTTCTGGGGAGACCATTCTCAATAATTTTTCAAAAACCAGACACGCATGTTTGGAGCATACACACACATACTCATGCTGGTACAAAAAAATGTCAGAATAAAAATAGAACACAGATATGCAAGGAGGTTTGTTTTGTGCGAGGGCAGAAGAATGAAGACCCAAATTTAAATCACACTTAATGAAATTGGAGCAAGAGCATACACGAAGTTCAAGAGCGGATTAACGCGCGAAGTGTTAAAGTATCACCCATTTAAAAAAATTATATGACTTATGTTATTACCGTTACAAATAAACTAAATCAAATAGACGTAACTTGGATTTATTGCCTACACAAAACACACGAGAACTATAATTATGAACATGTTTATAAACTTATTTAGTTTTCAGAAACCTACACAAAACTGACTCTAACAATGTTTGAGATAGACTCATTTACTAAAACCATATATAAAAAATAATATATAAAAATAATTAAATTAAACTCACTTATTTACTTAATGAAGGAACATATCTATCCTATAATGTTCATAAACAATTTAGTTTAGTGCATTTGCAGTGCAACTCATGTGAGATGAGATTTCATAGCGATTTCGATAGGTGTTTTAAAAAAACTAAAGAAAACAAATGATAATTTTGATTTGATTTAAATAACAATTTTTAAGAATTACAAAAATAGAAAGAGTTTTGAGATCACTATTCTTTATATCTACAGTATATTTTCATAAAACAATTTCTAAAAACTGCTAAAAAGAAATTTTTTAACCAAATAAACCCATTTTCTCATTTTCTTCCAATTTTTTTATTCAGGGTTTTCTTCTGACTTTTGTTGAAAGTTTTTTTTTTTCCTATCATATACTGTATATTTTTATAAACGTTGAAAGTTTTCACTTTTCGTGGAATCCAATGGGCCCTAAAATGGGCCCACTTCTTAACCACTTAGAACGGATGAGATTAGACTCACCTAATTTTTTGCTTATACCCCCTAGTACCAATCAGGCAGGTCTTTGGACGGTGCCAATTGCTGACATGGCATATCACTCTCTCTCTCTCTCTCTCTCTCTCTATCCTACTGATGATTTGCTGATATAAAATTTGTCTCTCGACAGCCTTTCGAGCTTTCAAATCCCTCTCTTCATTTCTCTCTCCAGTTTCTCTCTCTACTGCAACTGTCTTTACCGTTTCGATTCTTCAAGAAACCCTATCTATTAGTAGTATTCAATTCAAAAGCGGTTTTACACAGTTCCTTCGATTCTTGAAAACATATTTTCCTTAGCTGGAAAATTGTTATTGGATTTTCTTGGATACTTTTTAACAAAGTCTTGGACTGTGCTTGGTGGTGTTGTGTGCCGTGTTTTAGGAGATTCTCAAGGTTGTTGACTTCTGAGAGAGGATGAAGATCGGTGAAGAAGATGAGCGAGAATCGTCGCTCTTCGCTATAATTTATGAAGATTGAAAGACTTCTTGAGATTTTGATACTTGATCATTTCTAGGGTTTATGATGCGTTTCTCTTATCGCTCTCACACGACTAGGTGTTTGAAGTAAGCTAATACTAGTTTTCAACCTCTTTTGCTTCATATATATTGTTAGATGTCTGCTATGACAGTTCATTTGATTTTTTTCTTTTACTCAACCTATCGTTTTCACTATAAATTTTCTTGTATTGTATAATATAATATGTGATTCTTTTTTCAAAGTGGTGAAAAATTAAGAACTGTTACGAGGTTCAAGAATCTGACCATATGATGTTTGATGTGATTTAAAGGTAGGGTTTGATTTGAACTCGTATACTGGAACCATTGAAGTTTATCGTGATAATATTTGGCCCATCTGGTGGAATAGTTAACAGGATTAACCAGGTATACTTGGCCCACATTATGCTTGTTTCACTAATCAGACTTCATATTTAAATTGGAACTTGTTAGCAAACGTATTAATGAAATTGAACTTTCCATTCCTACTAATGGAGGTGATCGACTTTTTTTTTTTTTTTTTTTTTTCTTTCTTTCTTTCTATATATATATATATATCTTTTTTCTTTCTTGAAGTCTTAATTAAATTTATTCCTTTCTCAGAACTTTGGCTAATATAAAGTGTCAATAGGATTGCACAGATGAATTACTTTTTAGTGAACTGATATGTTGTTTCAGTGTTTATTCATGCTTATTTTGTCTGTAAAACAAAGGATTTGTTTCAGTGTTTATTCATGCTTATTTTGTCTGTAAAACAAAGGATTGGAGTTTATGTGGCACTTTGTGTAAATTCCATGCTTGAAGAGTTTTCTTGTTTAATTCCATGTTGAATTATAGGAAAGTTCTTTGATGTTGAGACTTGTAATTGATTGAAGAATATGATTATTTCTTCCAAAAATGGCTGCAAAATCATGGATTGGATCGTTCTTTTTTTACTTTCAGTTAATTTATGTTATGCAATATTCTTCTTTTATTTTATTTTATTTTATTTGGGTTAGGTAGACACACCCAATTTTGGATTATGCTTGGAGCATGTATGCAAAATGCCAAAAAGAGGTTATTCCTAAGTGTTTCACTGTTTTCATTTTTAGAGTTTAAAACAGGTTTTAGAAACAAGAAATAAAGAACGGGGAACATATGGACTTATTAAAGTCTTATTTAATCTTCCCAAGTATCCATAGGAATATATCGCTTTAATTTGTGCATTTCCACTAGTTATGACTTCTTAGGAAGTTATATTATTTCATTAATGATTACTGGCTCTGTAATATGATTATTTTGTTTGTAATAATTATCTTGGAGACTGTAGGTTGGAATCACGCTCTATTAGAGTAAGATGTGTCTTATCAAAATTATTTTTAGACTTTGGTTTTTGATAGTTTTCAATTTGGTTGATTGTAGATTCTAAATTGAATGCTCTCTCTCTTTCTTCTATTGTTGCATACTTTCTGGTCTTTCCCAGTATCTGGTTTAAGGTAGTGAATAACATTTCTTATTTTTTAGGAGACTTGTGATCTTAATATGTTCTTAGAGCGAGGCAAAAATCTTATACTGTTCGCAATAACTTCTCAGAGTAATGATACAGTCAGTCTTTTTCATTGAACTAGAAATTTTGTGACCCCTGAGTCCGACTCTAAGCAAGGTTGGTAAGTTACTTTCACTAAGTTTGAAGCACTTGGACCTAGAATTGTAAAAGATAGTTCTAACAAGTTATGTGGAAAGAATTTAGCAGCAATTCAATAATCCATAAGAATTGGTAATACAAGGTTGTTTTAAAGAAAAGTAAGATATGGATTGCAATGGAGCAGTCGGACATAAATAGGATTTGTAAGGTAATGACAAAAAGAAAGAGTAGTACATGGTTTATAGTGGTGTCCTTGAATGCATTTGTTTCATTGTGAATTTAGTGTTGCATTGGTCAATTATTGTTCAATGCTAAAACATAATATGATTTTTCCACTTACAAAAAAATTGTAGCTTATTGTTTAAATGAAGGTTTAATCATTGAAAATCAAGTTTTTCATATGCCATGCACGTGTTTCTTTTTTTATTTCAATTTAGTCTGGCATTATGAAGCCTTCTTGTTAGTAATAGTTTGATCTTCTGCTCAATGAGCTATTAATATGAATTTTCAAGAGCTCTTGGTTGTTTGCATGAAAGGACTTCTAGATATTGCCATTCTCTTAATTGGTCGAATTTGGAGGTTGTGAAAATTGTTGTACAGTGAGAGAGTACTTTAAGATGGAAAGAGGGAAGTTTGGGTCTTTGGTAGGATTATGGAGTTCGATAAGCATATTGGTGTGTTGTTTTGGATAAGAACATGAAAACATTTCTTTTCCATTGTAAAGTGGTGACTTCCAAAATTCCTATAAAATTTTATTGGGATCCGCTCCCCTTTTCAGCGTTTTTTAAAAAATTTTATTTATCAAAAAAGAAAAAAAAAAGTGGTGACTTCCAAAATTCCTATGTCACTTGCATTTATTGCAAGTAGTTGGTCAAGGGACTTTTGGATAAGCAAGGAGATTAAGTCCAAATTTGTTGGTCAGTTGCATTTATTGCAAGAAGTTCATCAATGGACTTTTGGATAAGCAAGGAGATTAAGTCCCACTTTGTTGATTGGGATTCTACTTTAATTTCTCAAAAGTTAGGGGTTTGGCTTTAGCTAATGACAAATCATGAATCTATTTTCGAAAAGTGACTTTTGAGGTTTGGTGATGAAAGAGAGCTTAATGTCATGGGCCTAGAGATTTGGCGCAGCGGCACGGCCCGTGCGACACCAAGGCGTTGCTTTAGCTTGCGCAAGCGCCCTGGTCAGCCACCACGACCTGCCCTCCCAAGGATACATGCTGACTGGTTTCGACCTGCCTTGGTCTCATCAGGGGAACGGCTCCAGCTCCCGACCAGTTTGTGCGGGCCTAACTCCCTTCTTCATAGTTAAGTCCACGACTAGCGAGAATTGAACCGAGTCGTCCTGCCTGAACTCTGAAGAAGTACCATCCTGTGGTCCTGCACGGCCCTTCCCTGGAACCATTCCCAGTCAATGAATGTTCTTAGCCAACCAGCATGCGTGTCTTCTATGCTCATGGCGTCGTTAGAAATCAGAACGTGACATTCTCCCCCACCCAAATCCTGCGACACCCTCGTCGCAGTACGGCACTGACTCCACTGCGTCCAACATTCCAAAGTTTCTCTCCTCCAAGTGGTATGCTCACCTGCCCACCATCGCTTCCTTGTACAACCCTTGGCTGCACTCGCCCAATGATAGGGTTTCGGGCTAAAGGGACACCCACTTCTTCGGGACGCAACCCCACGTTATGCCGCCTCCGCGACACCCCGAGCAAACAAGGGCCCTCCAGCTGACTTGATACCCGCCCTTCGCAACGGTTTACATGCCTCTTGAACTTGCAAGAACTTTGGTGCGCTCGGCCCTCCTGCCATCCGATGCGCGCGGCCCTTCGGCTTCAAAGGACGCATCTTCATGGGGAGATGGAGGCTCTCCTCCAACAACATTGATTGCCCACCGACGCTTTAGTGCACCCACTTCATTCTCAAGACCCCCGGATCGACAAGGGGGTACATCTCTGTGCTTTACCCCAAGTCCTGCTCTGATACCATTTGTCACGGGCCTAGAGATTTGGCGCAGCGGCACGGTCCGTGCGGCACTAAGGCGTTGCTTCAGTTCGTGCAAGCGCCCTGGTCAGCCACCACGACCTGCCCTCCCAAGGATACATACTGACTGGTTTCGACCTGCCTTGGTCTCATCAGGGGAACGGCTCCAGCTCCCTACCAGTTTGTGCAGGGATGGCCAACTCCCTTCTTCATAGTCAAGTCCACGACTAGCGACAAGCACCTCGAACTGAACCGAGTCGACCTGCCTGAACTCTGAAGAGGTACCATCCTGTGGTCCTACACGCCCCTTCTCTGGAACCATTCCCAGTCAATGAATGTTCTTAGCCAACCAGCATGCATGTCTTCTATGCTCATGGCGTCGTTAGGAATCAGAACGTGACATTAAGGATACGAGTAATAGAGTAGAAATATGAGAAAGAAAGGGAGATTGGCATCCTAAATAGGTGACGTGGACTTTAGGAAACAATTGGTGAAGTTCTGGTTGAGTTTTCTAGAGGAGTGTGTTTTAAGGAATCTAATGGAAAAAGAACTTACATATGGAAAAACAATTCATGAATAACCTCTCTTTTAAAGCAAACAATTTGCATTTACATGCTATTTCAGTTAAACGAGGCTTGTTTAGTTGATTATTTTATTTGCTCACTCAAAGGAATATATATGTCCTAATATTTTAGTACCTTTTGTAATTGTAGCCTTTTCTCAATGAGATTGTCTTATCTTTTTTTTTTTTTTGGTGCTTTTAGGGTAGGGAGAATTGCTTTCTTGGGCGAAAGGGTTTGGATGGATAGAGCATCTAAGGTGCTCCATTGTTTTCTTTGGAAACTAGGAAGAAATGCTTGACAAACGATCAACTCGTTAGGAGTGAAATCAATTTTTTCTCCACTATTCATTGGCCTTAGATTTAATGCTCCATTTGGTACAGGGGGGATCAAGAACTGGAAGGGAGGGTAGGAAAGTGGAAATCGTATTAGCAGGGAATGTCTTTTTCCTTGCTTTGTTTGGTTGAGGGGGAAAAAAATGAGGATGAAAGGAAAGATGTCCGTTTTTATTTTACCTTTATACCCTTACATATTGGAATTTGCTAACTTCTTGACGATCTTTGGGCAGAAAGGATTTAGTGGGTGCAGAAGGAAGTCCTCTCCTTATTTCTTCCTTCCCTTCCCTTTTACTTTCTGTCCAGCAATGGAAACTGTATAGGGCATCTCTTTCCTCCCTCCTTTTCTTCCTTCTACTCTTAACTTCTACCAATGTGACCTTACCTGATTTTCTTGCTTGGGGTTCTTATTTAATGCCAGAATTGGTTGTTGATTTACTTATTAGATAATGATTTGGCTAGAGAATAAAACAAACTCATTTAGAATGTTAGTGCACTTACTAGATAATTCCTTTAAAGCTTGATTAGACTCTTATTTAGAAGTTGTTGATTTAGCATTCCCTTATTTATCTCCTTCTTGGCTTTCTTTAATGGATTGTGTGGACTGTTTATTATATGTTTGAAGGCACATATGTATGGTATCTACATTGCATTACTAGGCCTTGCCTTTTCACTTATTTGATAATATTCTTTTGGATATTAAAATTATATAGGGAGAAATATATTGCTGATTTTGATAAGCAAGCACAATTATGAAGGAGTATTAGAGGCATATGGAAAAAGTAGAGTATTACTGTAATAAATAAATAAAAGTAGAAAAATTAGAGTATTAGAAGCATGTGGAAAAATCAGTTGGAGAAATGATGTGGAAAAGACCCAAATACAAAACGAAGACCATTGCTTCATGGAATCTGAGATGATCTTGTTTCTTGAATCTAACAGATGCCTTTTTACTTTTTTCCTGGAATAAGATAATTTTTTTTTTTGTTTTGAAGTTAGTAGTTTTTGGAATCATTGAAGTTGTATATTGTTGTATCCTGAGAAACTAAGCTGAACAAGTGGATAATCGAATTATAATGGTGACATGGGCAATCATTATGTGGTTTCATATGACCATGTGCTTATGAGAGTATGATGGGTACATTTAACAATATAAATGTTTCTGTAATATCTCTTCATTGTAGGTAACACAAAGAAATAATTTGTTTGGATGCTCTCTAGAGTGTTTGAATGATAAGAAACTTTCATGTACGATGTGGGCAGACTTGATGTGTCGTTTCTTGAAGGACTCTCTTGTGAGTTGGGACAATAGATTCCTCATATAAGCCAGATTAGGAAGGTGTTTCTTACTACCAATCATGTTTCACATATGTCGGATTCTGAAAACTTGAAATTGATGGTGGGTTAACATATCCAAAGAAGTGTCTTTTCTCTAATTAATTTGCATGGTGGTGAAATTGATTGCAGAATTTTGACATTTGTGTCATTACAAATTTTAACATATATAATCATAAAAAAAGGGAAATTCCAAATGATTACCGTTATTCTGGTTAGCAACTATATATGCTGATGAGATGTGATCCAGTGAAGTCTCTTCATTGTAGGTAACACAAAGAACTAATTTGTTTGGATGCTCTCTAGAGTGTTTGAATGATAAGAAACTTTCATGTACGATGTGGGTAGACTTGATGTGTCGTTTCTTGAAGGATTCTCTTGTGTGTAGGGACTATAGATTCCTCATATAAGCCAGATTAGGAAGGTGTTTCTTACTGCCAATCATGTTTCACATATGTCGGATTCTGAAAGCTAGAAATTGGTGGTGGGTTAACATATCCAAAGAAGTGTCTTGTCTCTAATTAATTTGCATGGTGGTGAAATTGATTGCAGAATTTTGACATTTGTGTCATTACAAATTTTAACATATATATAATCATAAAAAAGGGAAATTCCAAATGATCACCATTATTATGGTTAGCAACTATATGCCTGCTGAAATGTGATTTAGTGAACTCTCTATGTATATTGATGGAATGTAACTCGCTAAGGTAACTTGTACAAAATACATTATGCAGAGTAAATTCTGTGTATTTATGCAATGTGATTCACCCAAGATTATCGTAAGAAACTTGTATATCTTTATGGTTTCAAATATCTCAGCCATCTTTAGTCTCGCAAAACATTGTATTTTTTGCCATGCCAAAATACCTAAATAATTCATATGCAATGCTAGTAGGATTAAGGCCAAGTGTTTAATGTTTGGAATACAGAACTTGGAAAGTAAAAAATTTCTCTGCTGTCTGTTCCTCCCACTTTCAAGTTATTGCGGCCTTAACTCTTGCTCTCAAGGAATTTCAAGCGAGTTACTAAAATTAATCCCTTTGAGGTATTAAGACTGTCAATTTAAGATATTCCGCCTCCTTTCATGGTTTTACCTGAAGTTGCATAGAGGGAAATATGTTGTTTGGACTCTGGAAATCATCTTTGGATTTTCATGGAAGAGGATTTTTTGAGACTTCTAAAGTCGCAAAAACATTTCTTATTAATTCTTTTTGTGCTTCTTGTCAGTTCTGCCAAAATCTCTTCGTTAGTTCTGGTTTTAATAATAATCGTTTACATTTGCTGCTTCTGTTTTTTATTCTACACTTTGTTTATATCAATACAGAACTACTAAAAGTATGTAATCAAATTCAATAAACCTAACATCATATGATTAAATTTCTTTTTGGGGAGGGAGGGAGAGGGATGGAGTGAGGGAGGGAGATGGCTTCAATTTGAAAAAAACATTTAATTTTGTCTCAAGAGAGGATTTTAGGAAAATGCGTTAAATATAAGAAATGAGCGTGTGCACTCAGAATAAGAAGTGAACAAGTAATATTGAAAATTTCAGTTCCGTAGTGTAACCTATATATGCTTGAGAGAGTGTAAGCTATCATGTTTGCCTGTCCGAGGCATCAAAATCTCCGTTTGTTCTTGAACTTAACTTCAGAACTCAGAAGTAGGCTTTAAAGTCAATTTAGATTTATTTGCTTGCATGTGTATTGGACAGTGCTTGCCACTACGGGAATGTATTAGTAAATGCCTACTCTCAATTGGTAAACCTGTGAATGTAGCTTTTGCCATTACATATTTCCAGCTCTTCCTTTCTCATACTTGATGTGGAATATATATCCAAGTTTCGGGATGCAAGAATTAACTTTATGCTAAAGCACTTTTGAGGCGTCACTTATATATTTCAGTTATTTGTAAATAAGCTTGACATCTTATTGTTTCTGATTGTTCTTAACAGGTAGGCGTTGGAGAACTATATTAAATAAAGCAGTATGGGCACAAAAGATTGTCTTAATACTACGGACTCTCCTAAAGTTCTAGTTGGAGAGATAGACACCAGGGCACCATTTCAATCTGTCAAAGATGCTGTCACTTTATTTGGTGAAGGCACTTTTTCTGGGGAAAAATTTCCCATTAAGAAGGCAAAACCTCATTCTGCAGAGGTATTTCTGATACTTGTTTTTTAAATGTCTGAAGCTATATATATATATATAAATTTCTTCCGATGTTCAGACAATAACATTTACATGGATCACCCACATATCCTGAGAAACTTAATTGTATTTTCACCAGGTGTCAAACTATAATCAATTCTTTTGAAGTTAAAGTGCATGGATTTTTGTGGTTGATTGTGTCATCTTGTTAGTTTATGAATTTTACACTACAGAAAATATCTTGTACCCAAGCGCTGAGTACTGGTTGTTCAGTGGCCTAGAAAGATATGCTTGGGCTCAGCCTTATTATCTAATGAAGTACAAATTTTTTAGTCAATGCAATTCTACATCTCATTTACTGCAAATTTGTATTGATGCAATTCCAAATCTCTTTTTCTGCAAATTTGTACTGCGATGTTTCCATATTTCAAAAAATAAATAAAAAAAAAAAAAACTTGTTATTGGTAAATTAGCAAGAGAAGATGGACAAAGGAAAATGTTTATAGCCATTCTGAACAATGTTATATGTAAATTATTTGAATAATTTTCATATAATTTGGTCTCATTAAAAAATTTGTCTCTGAAAGTTTTGCATGCATGCAAATGTGGTTGTGCGTATGTACTTCTGTAGCAGCCAGCAACAGTCATTGGGTAGCATTACTGTATTAGAAAAATTTATAGGTTATCTATGTTTTAATGGAAATTTGTTCTAAAAACAAGCATCTTTTGATTTTGGTTTTATTATTACATATATATTTTTTATGAATGAATGAATGAATGCCGATATCCTTTTCTTTCACCAAACGCTTGTAAAATTAAGGTCATTATTTAGTCTTGTTCTATAGCCTACGTGGGATGATGGGAGGGTGGACTGGAGAGTCTCTTTGGTATTAATTTATACAAAATAGTTGCTCTCAGGCTCGAGCCTGTGTTTTTCACGATTGTCAGTCCAATAATTTATCATTACACAAGTGCACTCAAACATTTGTAAAGTCTCCACTTTAACACTATCTAGTGCCAAGGGCATCTTTGAGTGAGGATAGTGGGATTTAGTTGGGTGGTATGGGTATCATCACACTAACATACTTTTAGTTACTTTTAGAGAGGTTGTACTATGGTAAATTGCACTGATACTTGAATCATTTTATTTATTTATTTATATTATTTTTTATATTTATATATTTATAAGTGCACTGATACCTGGTCATTTTGCTTCTGATCCATTTTAGAGGGCAATTCATTACTTAAATTTTTTTTTTTCTTCTTTATGTTTTTTTGGTGCTTTATTGCAGAGGGTATTGGCGAAAGAGACACAGCTTCATTTGTCCCAAAAAGAATTAAATAAATTGAAGGAACAACTGAAGAATGCTGAAACTACGAAGACCCAATCACTTCTAGAGCTTGAAAAGGCTAGAAAAACAGTTGAGGATCTAACGCAAAAGCTTAAAACTGTTATTGAGTCAAAGGAATCTGCAATTAAAGCAACTGAAGCTGCAAAGAGTCAAGCAAAGCAACTTGAAGAAGCAAACAGTGGTGATCCTGCACGAACTGACGGTGCCTGGAAACAGGACTTAGAAAGTGCTAGAGAACAGTACATGGTTGCACTCACTGAACTCGACACTGCAAAACAAGAGCTAAGGCAAATCCGTCAGGATTGTGATGCATCCCTGGAAGCAAAAGCTACAGCTTTCGAGCAAGTAACAGAAGCTGAGCACGCAGCCAAAACGAACATGGAAAGAGCTGGTGAGATTTCGAAAGAAATTACTGCTTTACAGGAGTCAATAGGTCAGGTGAAGCTTGCAACACTGCAGGCCCACCAAGAGCAAACAGAGATATATTCTAAGAAGGATGTTCAAAAGCAGTCATATAAAGCTACTCTTGAAGAGTCTGCAAAGAAATTGCTTCTGCTGAAAAAAGAGTGTGATCCTGAAGTCACAAAAAATCTTGAGGTCCAGCTGGCTGAAACATTGACTGAGATTGGATCTATTCGAAAAGATATTGAATGTGCAAAGGCTTCAGATCTTGATTCTTTGAGGACTGTCACTTCCGAGCTGGACGATGCTAAGGAGTCGTTGCATAAAGTAGCTGAAGAGGAAAAGTCCCTTCAAAGCTTGCTGGAGTCTCTGAAGCTGGACTTGGAGAATGAGAAGAGAGAGCATTCTGAATTGAAGGAGAAAGAAGCAGAAACGGAATCCATTGCAGGGAATTTGCACGTTGAGCTCCGGAAAAGTGAGTCTGTGCTTGAAGCAGCCATTGCAGAAGAATCCAAAGTAAGAGGTGCTTTAGAAGAAATGATCTCGACGCTCAACCAGCTATCATCAGAAAGGGAAAATGCCAAACATGAAGCAGAAGAGATGAAGAAGAATGCAGAAGAGCTGAAGAAGGAAGCTGAAGCCACCAGAATTGCACTAGAAGAAGCAGAGAAGAAGCTAAGAGTTGCACTGGAGGAAGCTGAAGAAGCAAAAGCAGCCGAGGGAAGGGCCGTTGATCAGATTAAGATCTTGTCGGAGAGAACGAATGCAGCACGTGCATCAACCTCCGAATCTGATGTCCAAATCACAATCTCAAGAGAAGAATTCGAGTCATTGAACAGGAAAGTTGAGGAATCTGACAAACTAGCGGAAATGAAAGTAGCTGCTGCAATGGCTCAGGCAGAAGCTGTAAAAGCCAGTGAAAATGAAGCCCTCAATAGGTTGGAGGCAACACAAAAGGAGATTGATGATATAAAAGCTGCAACTCAGGAGGCATTGAAGAGGGCCGAGATGGCTGAGGCAGCCAAGAAGGCAGTCGAGGGGGAGCTTCGAAGGTGGCGTGAACGAGAGCAAAAGAAGGCGGCTGAAGCTGCATCCCGAATTCTGGCAGAAACAGAAATGTTGTCAGCATCATCCCCCGTTAACTACCATACTGAAAAGCAGAATCCACCAGAAAAGGTCATTGAAACCCGAAAGTATGAAAAAGAAAGAACTTATACTTCTAAGAAAGTACTTTTGCCTAATCTTAGCGGCATCTTTCAGAGGAAGAAGAACCAAGTTGAGGGTGGGTCACCATCGTATCTGCCTGTTGAAAAGCAGCAGCTTGTGTGATGCTTGTGTTTGTGAAACTTCTGTGCTACTAAGATGGTTGAGAGAAACCCTGTTAATACCTTGGTTTTTGAATCAGTTTTCTGTTCTTTTTGGGTCTGTTTGGGTAGGGATATTGAATTTCATGGGTAGAAGTGGAAGGAAGTGTAAGAAGATTGATTTTGTATGAATAAACTAGTAGTTGGTTTGAGTTTGTTTTACGTTCTTCTATGATGGAAAAGTCCATGTGAATACCTTGCTAAGAACTTTTTTTTCTGTGGTTATAGAGATTAGCCAATGACGAAAACTCACCAGGTTCTTAATCAAAAGAATGCTAAAAGTTTGTAGCCTCCACAAAACATTCAAATCAGAGGTTTGAATATTCCAATTCAACTTGATTGATGATATGATGAATGTGTATGTATACATACATACATACATACACATATATATACTGTTAGTGTTTTCGAAAAATAAAATATGTTTGGTAATGTTTGTTTGTTTGGTATTTTTTTTGGGGAAGTTTTAAGTATAAAGAGAAAATGTGTATGTTACAGGTTGTTTATTAACAAATGTATGTTTTATTTATTTATTATTATTTTTTTTTCACAAACAATTTATTTATTTATTATTATTATTTTTTCACAAACAATAGCGAACTCACGTAGAAGCAAAAAAAAAACATAATCTGAGAGTAGAGCATGTAACAATCACGGGGCCAAATACTCCACTCTAAATCGTCAACCTTGGCCTTCAAAGCATATTTACTCACTAAATGAGCAACACTATTACAAACCCAGGCGGGCCCTGGCCCAAGGCTGTCGCCTAGGGCCTCAGAATATAAGGGGCCTCCAAATTTATAGGCCCATGTATGATGGGCCAAAAAAAAAAAAACTTACAATCAAATACAGCAAATCAAAATTTATAGGCCATGAATGTTGGGCCACCAAAAAAAAAAAAAATTTAACTGCAGCAAAGGGCCTCAGGAGCGATGGGCTGCCAAAAAAATAAAAAAAGTCTAACCAAATACAACAAGGGGCCTTACCAAAAAAAAAAAAAAAATAAAAAATAAATAGGACAAACATATCACTTTATGTACGGAAGTCCTCACATTTTAAGTCTGCCTAAGCCTCTCCAGATTTTTTCAATCTCAGGGCCTGTTCAAACCCGAGGCGACTGCAGCCGCATGACTGCCAGCAACATCATGGTAGTCCCAGCATTTAAGGAGAACAACAGCCGCTCTAAATGGGGAGACCAAAATGAAAACAGAGGCCACCTTAACGGGGAGACCAAAATAATTCCGCAGGACCATACCTCCCCCACACAAACCGCTGGACTTGGAAAAGCTAGCATCAAAGTTGAGTTTAAAACATCCCACCTCCGGAACTGACCAAGACGATGGGGGAGGAGAGACAGGAGAAAGCGGCAAAGATAAAAGTGAATGTTGCCGCGACACCTCCAAAAATTCCTGAAAGGCAAAGAGAGCACGTTGAACTGCGTCAAAAGGATCCCAGCGCCGACGCTTAAAAACCGAGTCGTTCCTGCATTTCCAAATAGACCAACAAAGAAAGGCAGCAAGACCAATGCAAGCCATAGAATTATCAAGCTCCAGCCAACCATCACACATGGACATCCACCGCTTTTTCCAGACAGTAGGCTGATGAGCACTAAAATCAAGTCGAAAAGGGCTGAGCTTCCATACCAGAATTGCAAAAGGACAAGTGCATAGAAGGTGGTCCACCGTCTCAATAGCCGAGTCACAGATGGGACAAAAAGAAGAGACAGACGAACCCCGAATGGCAAGAGCTTTATTGACCGGAATACGATCATGTAAGCATTGCCATATAAAAAGTTGAATCTTCCTATTGGCCCGAATCGACCCGACCAAAGTCCACATACGGCAGGAATCCGCTTCAAAACTGCTTCCCTCAGTTAAAGGAGGGCCAGTGTTCTTGACAAGAATAGAAACCGCAACATGGTAGGCACTTTTGACAGAGAAACGGCCGTCCTTAGAAGCACTCCACACTTTGGAATCCACCTGCCGGTGACACTTAAAGGGATCTGAAGGATAAGCTTACTATCAGACTTCCACGTGTGAGTGGACTGGTTAACTAAATCCGAGACAAAAGAGAGAAGCCCCACAGCAGGGAGTTGTAACAAATGTATGTGTATATGTATATTGATATATATGTGTAGTGATGTGTGTACGTGTGTGTTGCCTGCTTTATAGTGCCTTGCTTTTTTTTTTTTGAATGGTATAGTGCTTTGCGTTTAAAACACTTCGAAGCGTGATTTTATTGTTTCATGATTCTGCACTTTGTTGGAAGTGTTGTCAACTTTTACAAAACTAAAAACATTACCATTCACATTTTCGACCTCTCTTTTTTCGAATTTCATAACTAAAAATACAAAATAAAAGCAGCTGGCAAGTGGGTCGAATTTCTTTTCTTAATTTTGCTTTAGAGGAGTGTTATTGGATGGTAACTAAAATAGAATTCTTTTTGATGTTTGGAATAAATTGAAATTTGAAAGAAAATTAAAATTGGAACGGGAAAAGATATTGGATTGTAATTAAAATAGAATTCTTTTTTATATTTGGAATAAATTGAAATTTGTAAAAAGGAATTTGAAAGAAAACATAATTTATGACAGAGTTGTGAAAGAGGTTTGTAGGATGAGAAACTTGAAAATCGGTTTATAGAAGGATACTTTTGGTATTACATCCCAAATCCCTATTCATCTTATAATTTCCTTGTTTTTGGGAACTCCTCCATCTTACCTTTTCAGAGAGTTAGATACTAGGATAATCGAGAAAGCATTCACATCAGCGGGGATAGCTCAGTTGGGAGAGCGTCAGACTGAAGATCTGAAGGTCACGTGTTCGATCCACGTTCACCGCATTCTTTTTCCCCCCTTCCTCTTTCCATTTTTTCCCTCCCCCTCCCCCTCCCCCTTCCCCTTTTCCAGGCTAAAATTTGTATAAATTTAAATCCTAAAACTTGCAAGGTTTAATCCAATTATATATCCAAATACATTTCAATTTTAATCACTTCATTTACAATTTGAATAGAAAGCAGCAGTATTTTAACATTTTTTTATCATTTGGTACTGTTCAATATCAACAATAGAAAACCAAATGATCATCCACTATTAATACAAGCACCACAAGGCACAAACTCATCATCATCATCTCCCTGTGTACAATCCCCGGCGCTTCCCGGTCTCGCACGATATGACCGAGGGAAGAAAGCCCTCCTGGTGAAATAAAGATTCAAAGGTGTAGTTTCATTCTTGGTTTTCCCACTCTTAGTTGGAAAACATGTTGAGACCATGCATGATGGCTACAATACAAAAGAGCTTTAAGCAAGCATGTTGAAGATAATAAATATCATTCTTCCATAAAAGGACAGTCTCAAGGATGGGAAATTTGACAAGCTCCAATTGACAAATATGATATAGAAATGCTTCCAAATGTTCCTGATAAACATTAATCCAATCCCGAAGAGCAACGTAATAAGATCGAAATCTTATGATGTTATTAAAATGCTATTGCATTCACAATGTAGATTTATGCAGTACACATTGCATATACAAGGTCTTTGGCCTCCCTTTAACCCAACAATGTCATCTCAGTTTGGCTCATGCTTAATTTAACACAAGTCAAACTCTCAAATCCATTCTCAAACACACGATCAAAATTGTTTTTTTTCAAAAACAATCAGTTACAAATTACAAATTACAAATTAGTGAGCTGTTAACGAATCTAGCCGGGGACAGTTCAAACTACAGTCATAAAACAAAGTTTCAGTGACAACAATTACAGCACTATGCCCGGTGAATTCTTATAGTACCATGCTACATTTAAACATATATTTAAAAATGGAAAATAAAAAGAATCAACGTAATAATCTATCTAGAGGGGGTGCGTGCACAAGCGCCTTCCTTTCAACCCCTCTCTCATCATTCAGAATCATGCATTCATTTTTTTAAGAACAAACATCATGAAAGCTCAGTTATCACACGTTCACACTTATCCTCCAAGATCTTCACAGCTTCAGTGAACAGCACTTCAGGGGGTAATGCTCCAGCAGATTCTATAGTAACTAGAGAGGGAAAACAAATGAAACTTACATTGTTAAATTTTATATATATGTAAAGAACCGAAAAACATTTTAAAACAGCAAATAATAACTGTATCAGTAGAAGGAAGCTTAAGAAAAACAATTGAACCAACATATGAGTGACCAAATGCCAACTGTCCAAGGTTCAGCAACACAAACTATAGTAAAATAAATAAATAAATAAATAAATCAACCATGTTTCCTCTTTATTTCGTGACAAAAAATCTCATTAGGTGGAGCCATTCATGTGGGGATGAAGGCAAAAAGATGATGATTGAGATGAAAAAATAAAAATGAGCACAGCTAATAGATTATCCAACAAATTTATGATCTGATAATCTTTTATATCTCTTTGGTGAAGTGTCTATCATTCAATAGGAATCTACCTTGTTAAATTATTGATGTTGAAAAGAATATAGGTAGGCCTCATTTAATACTATATCCAAATTTCAAATTCCCACGCATTCCTGTGCTCCACCATGTTATTGATGGGCCACTTCGAATTAAAAATGAAGCAGATGCAAGCCTATCCTTGCTTAAGTATAAAACGGTAAAGAAGATGTGTCAATAACTTCAAGTTTCACCAACGGGCCAGTGACCTAGCGGTATCAGGCCCTTACTTCCCAAAGGGAGGTCAGGGTTTCAAGCCTCAGTAGAGGCATGTGTGTGTGAGTACCAACTAAGGAAAAAAAAAAATATAACTTCAAGTTTCAAGGTTAAAGAGCCTTCCAACTGTTGTGTGTACATTTTCTTACGTTTAAGCATTAGTGAAGGTATTAGAAGTTAACTATGAAGTCCATCAATTAAGTTTACTTACGATCACCAATTAAAATATTTTCCATATATAACATGGATAATTAAGAAAGGAAAGACCATTAGATATCATATCAATTCCTGGGTATACGGTCAAGATGATAGGTATTTTAGAAAGATTTGGTAGCTTATAGGCTCCTTTTCTTGTTGAAATGAAATTATTTTATAGAATTATGGATCTTTCTTGTAACCCTAAAAAAGATAAATGAATAAATAATATATACATATATATTTTTTCCAATGTTATGCCACAAGTATTGTGGTGGCACATTTAGAAGTATGCCCGATTGCTAACCATTCAATATGCTATCACTATTTCACATCCTGGGAGATGATTAGACTATCTGTAAATGATGCATACACACTACATTACTTACAGATGAAATGATCCTTCACACGTCGCAGTGCCACATAATCCTCCCATCCTTCCCCTCGGATACATTCCCTGCAGAGCGTACAGGCTCGTGGCCGAACCACAGTTGCCCTCTTCTTACCTACTCAACGGCCAAATAATTAATCAGGGCAATGCAATAGCCAATATCATATGCAGCCGAACTACCAGACAGAGATAATCTAATATGAGTTCTCTTTATTAGTGGGACATGATCCATAATCTTAAGGCATATCTGAAGCAGAAATGCTTTCTTTTATACCAGTACAGAATGCTGGTCCCCGTTAAACGAGGATGCACGTAGAGATGGGTTGATTTCAGACCTGAGTGAAATCGCACACAGTGGCTGACCTCAGATTCAAACCTGCACTCTCACGCTTGCCAGCCCGATCTTTTAAAATTGCACAAGTGATAAGTTATGACCCCTATTATTAAATAACATTGTGAATAGGATCGCTTTACCTTTACCAATGTCTTCTATGTCAAATACATTAACAGGACATTTCTTCACAAGCTCTTCTGCTTTTTCATCTTCAACTTCTTGCTTCAATTCAACCTATATAGGTAAACATGTAGAACTTATAATGAAGCTCCTTTCACGAATACCTGGAGTTGCAGCTTTCAGATGTAGTTGCAATAATAATAACAATACTACTTAGGGTGATGATATTTGTACTCCACTTACTTTTTTCGAAAAAGAAAATGACATAATTACCCTTCAAAAATACATTTACACTCCACATTATTAGAAAAAGTACAATTACACTCCACTTTTAGGGGTAATTTTGTCATTTCAGTTATTAAAAATAAATCAAGTGGAGTGAAAGTGGTGAAAAGTGGAAGCAAATATCATCTCCCTGCTGACTATTATAATGATAATAGTAATAATTAAGAGTTTGCATCACCTCTGGGAGCATTCTATACCAAGCTGTGGCCACAGGGGACCACTTCGCGTGTGTTTTACCCATGCCTTTAACAGCATGTGCTTCTAGCTCAATTCCCTGCAAAAGAAGCAAGTTGATAAATTAAATGAGAACTTCAAAGAAAATCGATTGTTTGGGCTATAACGAATGCCAGCAGTATTCGGGGAGAAAAAAAGGTCTTTCTTCAGCAGTAAAGTTAATTTCAGATTGACAGGGCCATAAATAAGCTATTTAAGGGGCCATGTGAATATGAGATATTAGCGAAGAAGAACCAATGAATTTGTGGTGCATATTCAGGGAAATTTTTTTTGTGGTGCATCCAGTAGCTGAATGTTTGCCATGGTTTGACAGTCTAATGCATGAAGAGTTGTAGAGATATCTAAATTTTAAAAAATAAAAAAATGTATTAAAGTCCAAAAGTAGATGATTTATGTAAGTTGGTGAAGCTGCATTTACTATAAATTGGTCAAATAATAGCTACAAGCATCTTTTAAAGCCTATAACAATGGATGTACAATTCTGGAAAAAGGTCTTCTTGGATCTCCAAGAGGGCCAATGCTAATTGGAAGAAAGGGATATTAACTTATTAAGCAATAACACACAACGTTTATTCCTTTGAGTCTTCAACTTATACAACAATAGTTGGAGAGCACCTCCTTTTACAAGATTAGAAAATTCTTCTAGCTACCTTCCGCCGGGCTTAATAGATACAATTCTTAACCACAAGATATTTCAAGACGTGATAGTTGTCTAGGAATTAATTTTTTTCCTACGATTCTTACAGAAGGAACATCTAAAGTGTCCCTGTGCAATACGATGATAAGCAATTGAAGCCTCAAATTTTTAGTAATTAAACTAAGTCTCCAGAATCTAGTCCCATCCCCAATATCCACTTATTCAAAATTTACATTAAATACATCAAGAATAAAATTGTTTTATTTCAACTTGGGTTTAAACTCTAGTCACTCAACAACCGAAGTCATTCCTTGAACTTAAGGTCTGAACCAACAGCCCATAACCTGCAAAACATTTATAGATTTCTATAGGTTCCCAATATATTGTTTTGTTGAATTATACATTTTTTTAATATTAAAGAGTACAGTTGTAGCATGCATTCCTAGATTTATGACCTTGGATATAAAAATTAAAATTGGCCAGCCACATATCCAAGACAACCTAGATACAATAAGCTGTGTTCTTCCAGTAATACTCAACCAATTGGCAGTCCAATATTAATTACATAGGATTTAAATAAACCAGAAATGAGCTGCATGGATGCCATCAAGACATTATTACATTTATAAATTAGATTTAATATATTTTTTTAATTCTTCACAACAAAATGCATCTTAGTAGCCAAGTGTCAGAATTTTGTAGGTCAAAATAAAGTTGGCATAAGGTTTCTGTTTGCACTGACTAAAACTAGAATGTAATAACCGACAAAAAAGTGAAATAATATAAACAATACCTGGCCAGGTCCAAGTTTAGCTACAATAATATCTGGATGTTTGGGGCCAATGGAATTGTTGGAAAATTCTGGCAAAGAGTCTTGGCTGCAAGAAAATGAAGTGTAGGTTTTTGGTTTTGAGGTTGAATTTGAAGTATCTTGTGTGGCCAGTTCGAACTCACTCCCTTGTGGTAACCACTTCAGCTCCTCTGATTTAACTGCATTATCCATGGCAACATCATCACAACAATTTACAGGAAGTAAGAATGGTTGGCAATAGAAAAATGAAGCTTTGGGCACAACCCATTGAGAAAATTAATTATACCTGTAAGACGTGGACTACCTCGTATGCAATCAACTTTGAGTTTGAAAACGATGGTGTTCTTTTCATTAGGTACATCATTCTCTAAAAAACAACGGAGAAGAACTTTTCTCTTAGCACAATTGGAAACAACACCACCACCCCAAAAAAAAAAAAAAAAAAATTGTGAAAGACCACAAAATGCGAGACAAAACCTGACATATAATCAAAAAGCCTTGGGTCAGCCTTGATCGGAATAAGACCCAACCTGTGGGCAAGCACCTCATCTTGGACCACTGATGTATTGTTTGCAATAAGAACTTTTTCAATAGCCATTGTGGGAAGCTGCATGCATAACCAGTGAAGAAGGATGAATTGCATACCTTTAGCACCATATCAAAGCTAATGAAGCCACAATGCACAGCATGTGCGCACAGAGAGATGTGTTATGTCTGTGAGAATCTGTGCACGCTTATTTATCAACAATATAAAAGGCAGTAAGAACAGAAAGTGAACAAACAAATCCCTTGCCTTCTATACAGAAAAGGATACCAAATTGTGTGTGTTGTGGGGGGTTTGTTAACCCAAATAAAAAATCGTAAGAACCTTATTGAAAAAAACACGCACTTGGCAGTGAAAAATAAACCCATCAAGAAATTTTTTTGGAACATTTCGTGATGACATTGTACCCCAATCAACAACATACATATAATAGACACTCTATAAGTATTCAATGGAACATAAATAGAATGGAATTTAGTTTAACAATAACCCACCTCAGCTATGAGGATTCTCCGAATAGCATTAGCAAGTGAAGCATCAATCCCAATCAAATCGAACTCCATGTCATCCTCTGTAAGTCGATTCACTACTACTTTAAAGTTATTGCGGAAGTGGTCGAACCGCAAGCTGTTATCAACTCCCATGGATGCATAAGCACCAGAATAGTGTATATTTTCTGTCTTTACTCACAGAAACCCCCCAAAATGTCAGAATTCTGATATGCATAATCTCGTACATATATATATATATATACACAACCGAAGAAGTGTAAGACCCCAATCAAACAATTCAACGATGAAGATCAGAGCTTTAAACAAAAAAACCCAGAAATTAATATATGCGAGGCTAGTACTATAATATATAAGATAAGATAGATGAGATTAAGAAGAAGAATACTTGAGTGGGAGCATCGGAATTGCAGAAAACGCGAGTCCTCTGGAGCTGAAGGTGTGGTGGAAGTTGGCCCTTTGGCACGTCTGGTAAATCACAAATTGGAACCTTAGCCATCGTTGCTATCTCTCCTGCAGATTCCTGTATTGTACTAGGGTTTCGAGTTTAGAGAGAGAGTGTGGCTCACACACAGTAGACAGAGAAGGGTTTAGGGTTTTAACGTAGGCACAGAAATTGCCACACACAGTGCCAGTTCAGGTAACTTGGGCGGGTTGAGAAGCCCGGGCCAATTCAACCTCTGATCTGACATGCTCAACCCAAAACCCCAAATTTTATTTATTTATTTTGAATTCGGGTTTTAATCAGATTAATAGTTTTAGAGTGACTTATGCTTGGATTAAAAATTCAGGATAGATTCAGGTGGTTACCTAATATTTTAATTCTTCCATCCCAATTTAATGGTTTTTTTTTTTTTTTTTCAATTTAATTGTTTAATTAGAAATTAAAGTAAGATAAATTTCATAATTTCATTAATATTCTTAAAGATTAATGATATACGATTTTGTTGATAAATGTAGTATTTGTTTTGTAGTAACATTTATTAAAATTTAAAAAAGCTACTTAAGAGGAATGTGATATTCTATGTGAAAAAGAGTTTCACACCACACTTAAATTTTGGGATAAATTACACTAAGATTCCCGAGGTTAAATCATTTTATAACTAGATTAATATTTTGATTTTAAATTTTACATATATTTGAATTAGCGATTTTACATTCACTTAGACTCCTATTGTCAATTTTTGGCTGGCTATAATACTTTTGAACTGTTAAATGATTATGTTGCCATTTGATCTTCCGTTTACTATTTTTGTGACCAAACTACCCCACGTAGAATTTCTACTTCCTCTTCCTCCTCACGTTATAACATCATCGTCCCCAATCTATATAGATGTTGGAAACAGCCAAACTTATTTTATATATATTTATATATATACACAAAATTACACACGTGTATACACACATACAAAATAACCAAATCGAGGCAAACTCTGAATACTAGATATGACCTCAAAATAAAATAACGGGGGTCAAGGTCGGCCAGTGAGACGATGGGGGATAAGCTTCATCGTCGAGAGAGAAACAGCCCGGATCACCAGCTAAGGCCCCTAAATGACCGCTCAGTAATAATTCATTAGATACTTTTTATGAATGTCAATTAAGTATCGTAAGTAAATTGCTCCCGGTTGTTCAATCTGGGTTGCGGAACGAAAGAAATAAACGAGACAGATTAGCCTCAAGCATTAAAGAAGAAGCACCAAATCAGCCAAAGTCTTACCAAATGGTCCTATTTGTGCATAGGGGGTGGGATGCCCCTTCCCAAAACAAGGATATTGGTACGCTTGAAAGAGCTGCAGATGCTTTTATGATGAAACAATTCAATTAGCCGAGAAGAACTCGCCTGTCTCTTCTAAATCCGGCCTCCTCTTTCTCTGATCTGCTTTCTACTTTGTTAGCCCTTTTTTCCTCTCTATCTGACTCCCTTATATTTTTCTAACGTGAAAAAAAACTCCTAATCCTAAAATCTTATGTGTCTATTTTAACATATCAAAACTAAATCCTTTTCCCATTATGATTAACATATAAAATAAATAACCCACTCAATTCATCCACCACCGCGCTCCAAACCCTATCCTAGTTACAGAGACTCTAACACTCCTCATTCCGACGACTGTTGTTCAATTTGTTTCGACGCCTGCCTTCATCGTTCCTGCCCGAGCTGAGTGTGGCCACTGGTACTGCGGTGAGATTTCCATACCAATTAAAACTCCTGATCCTCTGTTTCATCTATCGGAACGGTGGTTGCGGTGGCGACACTAACTCAGCGGCGGAAGAAGAAAGGTGGTTCACAGCTGAGACGACGGCAAGGTTTAGGAAGCAGTGTGACGGCGGCTTGTGGAGGTTCACGACGGTGGCGGCACTATGAGAAACCACAACTACGTTGGCACTATGAGATAGAGAGAGCACCGGCACTTCAGGATTTGACCAGAGCGAGACCATAATTTACAGCTCCATCGGCGACACGTGAAGAAACGCGCCCTTAGTGTTGGTGCAAGTAGATCTGACACACCACCGTGGTCTAAGAGAAAAAGTCGTTAGTGATGGTGGACGTCTGTCTGCTGCGACTTCGATGGTGATTCTTGCTGAAATGGTGATGCGTTAAGGTGACGCGCAATGGCCGACGGAACACCACCATCACGACGGAGCTCCAAGCCGGTACCGCCACAGTCCTCACCATGGCCTAGATCCTCGCCGTCAACGCCAGCATCCGGCGCCACCTGCTCAGTCTTCGACTACAACCCCCTCTCCACCTCGCCCCACTACCGCCACCTCCAGTCAACAACCATACAACCCCGTATCCCACCGGCAATCCATATTGATCCAAATATCTGTGTACATGGTGTTATACATTAGATTAGGAACTTATTTATGAATTTTTTCACTTGCCATAGGGATGGTGGTGGCGGTTTTGAGGTGGCACTGTAATAGCCGCAATCCTTGACGATTTTATTACTGTGTAGTGGATTTGGCAGAAGACTTTTGATTGAGAGAGTCTGATTAGGTGGGTTTTGTTGTAGGGGGGTATTTTTGAAAATTAATGTTATAGATATTTTATATTAAATTTGATTTAAACAAGTGGGGGTAAATAAGAACACAAAAAGTAATTTGGAATGTAAGTGAAAATTAAAATCAAAATCTCCATCTAACTGAAAAATGACCTAACCTCAGGGGGTATTGGTGTAATTTACTTTAAATTTTTTTAAAAATTGAAGAGTAAGGATTTGTTTAGAATGTAACTCTGATAACTGTTTCAAGAATAGTTTTAAGAGAACGGAAAACGTTTCCACTTTTTTGAATTTAAAAATGTGTTCAACTGAAAAAATTACAAAACAATTTTCAGAAAATCAAAATTCAGAAATCTGTTTTGTGGTATTTATTGAAAATAGTTTTCGAAACAAGAAACAAAAAATAAGGTACACAATCAAACCCACACATTTTGTGTTCCAAACTTGAACCCATCTTGTATCCTAGGTTTCTTCTATTCATAAACCACCTCATCATGGGTGCAAATTTCTTATTTCCTTGATTGTACAGGGATAAACTCCACACCTTCCTAGCTGAGGTGGTAGCATAAATTTCTTATAAACAAATAAAAGCTATTTAAATAAAATACAAAGAAGCAAATCTAAGCTCGATGAAAGACTCCATCTTCCTTTCAAGTAATTCTCTAGGGAAAGTCCGTTGCTTTGATCCATGCCACTGAAAGATGTGGAATTGCCCTCCACATCAAGGAACACGACACCCACACCGGACTTGGCGCTTAATCTGGATAAAACTTCATCATCATTACTTTTTCGGTTTTCAAAATTATTCCTCCCAAACTCAGAATTCGCCCATTCATCCATGCATTGCTCCCTTCTTAATATCTTCAGTACCTGATGTAAAGGAAAGAGTAGATCAAGGAATTATAAATTTGATTTTAAGGAGTGTTTAAGAATAAATCAAGACCTTAAGCAATCATTATGAATAAGTCAAACTTTCAATTTTAGTTTTTCAATCTCATCTCATTGCTATGCCTTTCTATAAGAAGAAAAAAAGTATATTATAAAGTGCTAATCACTGAATGATCCGACTTTTTAATCTATATAATCCAAGTAAGTGGAATTAAGGATGCTTAGAAAATAATTCATTTTGTTCCATGTCTACATAGCCTACAAGGCTCAGCTAGGTTGGAATTACTAAGCACATGAAAACAAAGGTCAATTTGAAAAAAATATTATTCTAGACATACATACAATAGCATATACACATGTTCAACACATTTTTCTTTTACCCACCTAGAAAAATAACAAAACAGAGCAAGAAAATTCAACAATTCATTTGATTAGTTCTCCAACACTAACCAAATACTTCTAGTTCAAGTATGACAAGTTTAAGAGATTAAACCGTGTAAAAGGATAAGGACCCTTAAAAGATAAACCATATAAAACCCATGGTCAGACCCACCCAATCAACCAAATCAAACCCAACCAAATCAAACAATCAAATCTCAACCTAAATCGGAAAGTATGAGACAGCCAAAGAAAATCCCTAATGTTGGGATGTATCAATTTTGTCATATCAAAGAAAAACCCTAATTAGTTTCTCTTTTACCTTATACATGTTGGGATGCATACAACAGTTTCACATTTTGTGAATAGAGAGAAAAATTCACCTGAACACAGAGACACGATTGGGATCCAACGGTAGAGAATAAAAGCAGATCTTGGCTTGAAGAAACCTACAGAGTGAGAGCACGTCGGAGTGAGAAACCCACAGTTTCCATTTATAAAACAGATCCAAGCAGACTTATTTTGAAGTTTTCACTTTTTTGTAACTCTGAAAACAGAAAACTGTTTTCACAGTTACATTCCAAGCAAGGCCTTAGGTATTCTTTGGAACAAACCATGCATCAATTTATTCTATTTAAAAAAAAAAACAAATGAAGTAATTTTATATTATATCACTTCCGTAATTAAAATTTGTTTACTTTACTTGTTTGAATTATCAAGTTGTGGACTTTCATTTTCTTTATCAAATTCAGGTATTAAAATTTTGATGCATTTTATCAAAGCGATGCAATACCAGTGAGGAAGGAGCAAAATAAAACTAGCTCCTGCCAACAAATTTCAGGTTATGTTCCTACAGACATTACAACAAATTTTAAAACTACTTCTAATTAAAACTTTAGCTAAATAACATTACTTTATATTAGAGGTGATGGTATGCCAGTATCATGCCCTCCTGAGGGGGGCAAAACATTTTGTAATCTCCGTGCCATTTGCTGAAGCTTACTCAACTCGTCTACATCCCCTGCCTGCAGCAAGGACCTCTCCAACATCCGGAAAACTGCGTCGCTCATTTGCCTGCCTCTCTCCAACATTTGTTTTGAGCACTTGAAAGCTTCATGCACTCTCCCACGGGAGCACAATGCCGTGACCAGAAGAGCCAATGCATGACCGTGAGGGCAGTACCCTCTCTCCACTAGGTACTCCCACAAATCCAACCCAAAATCGAGCCTGCTGTTTTCACAAAAGTATTTCATTAACATCACCCCTGTTCGTGTTTTGGGCACAAAATTTCTCTCTTTCATCTTGTGATAGAGCTTAGAAACACCATCAATGCCTTCCAATCTTATCAATCCTAAGAACATAGTATGGTAGGTAACATTGTCGTGTCCAATACCTTTCTGTTCCATCTCGTCCATCAAGCCAGCTGCAGACTTCATGTCTCTGGATCTAATGAGAGAGCTCATGAGGGAATTATAAGCCCCAATATCAGGTTGTAAGTTCCTCATCGGTAATTCATTGAACAACTGCCTTGCTTTGGCTGTGTTTCGGGCAACCCCTGCACCATGTATCAAAGTAGTAATAATTTCTACAGAGGGCAAGCAATTCTTATGTTCCATCTCTTCAAGAAGTCTCAAACCATCACTGAAACAACCTTTCTTACAGTAAGCATCGATTCTGATACTATAAGTTACACTATTTGGCATAAAGCCTCTTCGAACCATCTCATGGTAGAAAAGTTCTACTGTAGTAACATCTCCTGATTCCTTGAACCCCAAGAGCAATATATTCATGGTCTTGGTGTTTGGAGAAAATCGATAATGCATCTTGTTGAACACAGACCTTGCCTCTTTCATCTGCCTCTGTGTGCAGAATGCCCTTAGTAGTACATTGAACTCATCGGTACCAAACTTTCTCCCAACAAATATATCCTTCTCCATCCTCTCAAAGGCTTCAAGGGTTTCTTCATAGGATTGAAATTTCGCAATTCTAGATAAAATGATGCTCATTGACTTGAGGGTTAGCAAGGAAGGGTGCGTTCGTTGGATCTCTTCAATCAATTCCCACGCTTTATCAAAATAGCGCATTCGCGTAAGGATGTGGAGCGTCTTCTCAAAAGCATCTGAACTTGGATAGGACCGGGAGTGGCGGAGAGAGAATTTGAAGAACTCGAATGCTTTTAGGCCATTGGAATGTGCTGCAAAGAGGCGACCAAGTACATTTTCCACAAAGGGGGTGGAAAGGGCAGATGGTGGTATATGGAGAGAAAGAGTAGGTTGAAGTGGTTGATCAGGGAATTGATGGTCATTAATAATTCTGGTAATTCTCTCAACAGGAGTTTCTTTTTCTAAAGTACTATGAGGCAGGGAGCAGGTTGATTCAAAAGCAAGGGTTATAAACAATGTGAGCTTTTGAGGAACTTGCAGAAGTTGACTGAATCTATCCAATTTGACTATATGAAACATTATTGTTTTCTTTAAAACAAGATGCAGAACGTCAGAACTTCCATCTATGGTTGTAGTAATTTAGTCACCTCAACACCTTGGAAAAACAAAAATACATGTTGGTTAAAGTTGCTTGATTTTAGATAAATCAACACATATGCATAATAGACATGGCAAGAGCCACAAGTGTTCACAACCATTTGCTCAGCTCATCACATATACATGATACATTTATGGGGAAACAAGATCAATCAACCAATACAAGATACCAATGGGCTTTAGCCCAGATGTCTCTCCTTCCCAAAGGGGAGGTTGAGTGTTCGCGCCCCGCTATTTGGAATAGTAATTGAGTGTAATATCTTCAGCCATTCAGCAACTTATCACCAGCTCATTTCACAAATAAATCTAGGGAACTCCAAGAAAATTGTTTAGGGGGAAAAAAAAAAAAAAAACACTCCAAGAAAATTGTCCAAATACCACTATCTATCAGGAAAACGAATCAATGGCCAACAAGGAACCAAACCGCAGCTGAAGAAGACATATTACTTGGATGTATATTAATGCTAATCCTGATTTATTTTCCTAAAGGAAATAATGATAGTTGTGCACAAAAAATAAGAATTTATATCAGCATGGGGAACTAAAGTATGCACCTTACTCAATTAGACGCCAAGATAGAGGGATTCCCAGTTGGATCCAGAAAACTCCATTTTATGTCTCACCCAACTTCTTATACAATCTCTTGCATGGCTCATATTTCCATCAATGTGACTGACACATAAAATTTGCATTTCTGCATCAGATGAAGATTTAGTTTAAGAACCAAACCTCAACGCTTCACAGAAATAATGGACAACAAGACTTTGAACCACAAAAGGGAGTCCACAAAATATATGCAGTGAAGGCAAGGTAGGCTATAAAATTAAAACAAATACCATACTTGGTTAACAAAATGAATTAAAAAGAATATTAAGTTGGTTAAATATCTGATCAGATAAATCTTGAAACCCATGCTAACTGTTAAGTTGGGAGGAAAATCTAACTTAAAACAAAAGCAAGCAAGCAAATCTTATAAAAAGACCTTGAAAGCCTACATCACCATATACAGATCACAGGCTATAAAAGAGTCGACCACCAAACTGCAATAAAAGCCATAAATCTTTTAAAAACTGTTGAAGAAATCCAATTCAGTTCATTACAAAATGTCATACAGAACCGTTAAATGCAACCAATAATTAGAAAGTCAATAAATCAGTGATCCTAAGAAAGGAGACTTTTGATTCTTAGATAAATCATCATTTGGAACCCCAGATGTCATTAGGCGATTATACAACTAATTAACTCAGTTACTGTTTGGCGTTGTTATAAAAAAAGTGCTGGCATTAGGAAAAGCAGATTGTTCTGGGATGCGCTAATCAAAACAGTTTTCTTGTTGCAGTTACATTCTACTGTTTGGAAACAGTATGTGCCATACTTATACACTTTAACAATGACTTTTCAGTAATGCTGGTCTTATGATGTGCTTTTGTGCCTATCTGATAAAAAATATATTTTTGTCAATACCTCTCTCCATGAATTTTACTCTAATACAATTCAAAAAAAAAAAAAAACCCAAATTTGAGCTTTGACCAATGGAGGTCAGGGCCAAAATCTGTACAACAAGAAAGCACAAATCTGGGGCCACAATCACTGCAGGTAAGAAGCTGCCACATTAAAAGAACAGTATAGTAGGATTGGTTCAAATTTTTTTTTTTTCCCCCTCCATTTTTTTTTTTTATAAATATGTGGCTTGGTTCTTTTATTCTCTCAAAATCCCAATAGAAATAAGAACCCCAAGCAGGGCCGGCCCTGAGATTTCCAAAATTTTGAGAGGCCCTAGGCGAACTTTCAAATGCGAGGCCCTTTAAGTTTCACAGGATATTTTCAAATTATACAACTAATATAATTATGTGTATGTGCCATGTGCATAAGACAACTAACTAATAACTATAAACATCACTATAAATTTATCACCACCAACAAATAATTGTGCGCCTGTGCAGTGTGCATAAGGCAACTAACTAATAACTATAAATCTATTACCACCAATAAATAATTGTGCGTGCCTGTGCAGTGTGCATAAGATAACTAATTAATAACTATAAATCTATCGCCATCAATAAATAATTGTGCGTTTGAGCAGTGTGCATAATCAGAAAAAGAATGGATGTTTTAGTCTGTACGGAAGATTGAATTCCACTTTGATTATCCATGCAAATATACCCTTAGTTGTCAAAACTATAGCAAACGATTATTTTCAAGGCATCCAAATAAATAATGTACTGGTTTATTTTCTTGGAATTCATTATTCCTTTATCAATTCTATGGAATTACAGAATACCCTAAACAGAGAAATCCCTTATCAAATTCTATGTGTACACACACACACACACACACACATATATTGTACTCATTGCAGTAGCACACACACACACACACACACACACACACACACACACACACACAAAGGTCATCCGATGCCCCCACGTTCCATCTCTGTCACTTACTCCCTCTAAACTTCATTAACACCTCCCTGCAGCTCATCAGACCTTCGTATATAGATGTTACTAGTTGTCAATTAAATCCATAATTCCATACAACTCAACAGACTTAAACAAGACAAACTCTACCCAATCAACTTCATGACCTCTTATACAGATGTCGAACTTTGTCAAAACCAAAGCAAACAATCTCACTTTCTATTTAATATTAAACACCCAATTCACACTAGTACTCTTAACTCTTTCTTTCACTTTCACATGCATCCTAGAAGACAAATACCCAGCTCAAAAAAACACCCGAATTATTAACACAATCTTCAATTCATAGTTCTTTCTTGGAATATTAGGTATGACTTAAATTCTCTTCATATATATATAACAGCCCTTTCTCAGTTTTCTCTGCAAAATCATTTAAGTCCAAGGCAAGGTTCAATCAACATTCCTTGAAAAGAAAGAATTAATATAAATGAAGCCAGAATGATTGCCTTGTAACCTGCATGATTTCAAGCAATACACTATGTGGAATAACAAGCGGCCAGCTATAAATTCCACTTTGATTATCCAATTTATCCTGCCTTTTTTGTTCTAAGCCTCTAAGGTAAGGGGTAAATCTTCTATTTCAAGCATCCCATAAATTTTCAAAATTCAATAATCAACCAGACCAATGAAATTAGATTCAAATTGATCAAAAAGGAGATAAAAGATTCCATAAACACGCGGAATCAAGAAAAAAAAAACCAATTTCAGATTGGAAAAAGCAAAAAACGACCAGTACCGTAAATTGGAATTATTGGATGAGTTGCTTACTCGTAATCTTTTCGGCGCCGCTCCTTATGAAACTGAAGCTAATCTCCCAAACACAAACCCAAATCTTATCCTTCGACTTCGAGCATTCGAGGAGCGACCGGAGCCCTAGAACACAATTCGTTTTTTCATTTTTTTCTTGATTCGAAAAACAGAAAAATGGGTAAAGAAATTCAGTGGCTAGAAGACAGCCAAACTGAACAAGTGTCGAAGCTAGAGTTTTGAAAGAGAACAAATGATGGTAGAGTGCTGTAGTGTGAAATTACGAAGTTGCTCATGTGAGATTGGGCTTAATTGGGCCTCATTTTCAGCCCATGTCCGCTAACTATGCAGAGAGCTCGGGCCTGTCGCCTATAAGCCCAAATTTTCATCCTTAACTGTTAGGTGGTAGTTATGTAATTTCACACTCTAGCATCCCATTTATTATTATTATTTTTTTTTATCAACCCACCAGATCGATAATATCTCTCTCTCGTCTTCTCATCTCAAACCCTAGCTTTTTCTGAACCTCTTCTTCTGATATCAACACTTGAGAATGGGTTCGAAATCGAAGAACGATAATCCACACACAGGCGATGGAGCCAGTCCTGGGTTCGATTCTTTACCTTCCTATCACGTTTCAAATTCCTTAAATAAATTAAGATTAGCAAATTTATGATATTTTTTTGTTCTTTTTTCTTTTTTAATTTTATTTTCATTATCGAATTGCAGGAAGATCTTCATCGGAGGCTTAGCAAGAGACACGACATATGGTCCGTTACCAACCCAACTTCTCAGCTATAACTATATATATATGGTTCAATTGCTTTTTTCTATCTTCTTTTAAGTGTGTGGGCTTTCAGATAATTTTGTAGTTAAATTTTTTTTTTTTTTGGGGGTAAGGTCAGATAAATTTGTAGTTCTATTGTTTTTTCTCCAATATCTGTAATTGGGAGAGTGATATATTGGTTAAAGGCTTCGTTTTGGTTTAGGGTTTTTATTGGTTTGTAGTTTTATTGTTCATGTTGTGCGTTTATGAGTTCTTAACTTGCATATGGTTCCCAAAATTGATGACAAGTGATGTTATATTACATAAAAAAACATTTTAGTTGATGTTGTGATTTGAGTGTTGATTTCTGCCCTGTTGCTTGGATGAAAAGAGGGCAAATTCTATTCTTTTTTCGATGTCTGGCAGCATATTTTGGAACAATTTATCTAGGGTGGGTACTATTTATTTGCTTAGTTGGAGTTGTTTTTATATTTAAATACAGCAATGTGACAGTGATATCTTGGTTACAGGCTTTGTTTTGGTTTAGGGATTCATTGATTTATTGTTTTATTTTTCATGTTGTGTGTATATGAGTTATTAACTAGCTTACAGTTTACCGATTTGATGTTAAGTGATGCCATGTTACATAAAAACGTTTTACTTGATGTGGTGATCTTAGAGTTGGTTACTATTTCTTTGTTCAGTTGGGTTTTTTTTTTTTTTTAAATTTGAATACTGATATGTGATATGTGACAGTGATATCTTGGTTACAGGATTTGTTTTGGTTGAGGGATTCACTGGTTTATACTTTTATTGTGTGTGTTGTGTGTTTATGAGTTCTTAACTTGCTTGTTGTTTGCCAATTTGATAATAAGTGATTCCATATTACATAGCAACATTTTACTTATAAAAAAAAATATTACATAGCAACATTGTACATGATGTGGTGATTTGAGTGGTGGGTACTATTTATTTGCTGAGTTGGGGTTGTTTTTATTTAAATACAGCTACATTTAACAAGCATTTTGGAAGATATGGGGAAATTACGGACTCAGTGATAATGAAAGATAGGTACACGGGTCAGCCAAGGGGTTTTGGATTTATAACCTATGCTGATCCTTCGGTTGTTGACAATGTTATTGAAGAAGACCACATCATCAATGGGAAACAGGTAAGTCTCTTTGTCAACATCTTGGTTTGCACTTAATGTAAATTGCAAGTTGCAGTTATTGATTCAATATCTGATTTTTATCTGTTTAGGATGTTGCATGCCATTAACTCTTATATACTCTTTATTCATCTTGTTTCTTTCTGTGTGAAAATGGGACAGGTTGAGATCAAAAGAACCATTCCAAGAGGATCTGGGCAATCAAAGGATTTCAAAACGAAGAAAATATTTGTGGGTGGTGTGCCATCAACAGTCAATGAAGGTTTACCGGTTATGTTGTTAAAATATGCAATCATCTTGACTTGTTGCTCTGAGTTCTTTTTAACTTGTTTTCCTTTTCTGGGTATTGTTGAGTTGAGCAGATGAGTTGAAGAATTTCTTCTCCGAGTATGGGAAGGTTGTTGAACACCAGATTGTACGTGATCATGAGACCAACCGTTCTCGAGGTTTTGGATTTATAATATTTGACAGTGAGGAAGTTGTTGATGAATTATTATCCAAAGGAAATATGATTGATATGGCGGGTACCCAGGTTAGCTTATTTTCACGGCTCCCAAGAAACCATTATGTAAATAGATGCATGTTTATCAAGGAGCATGCAACACTGCTTGCTCTATTTTTTTTAACAGTATTGATGAAGAGTGTTGCTATGTGCAATCTCGCTTATAGTAACTACTTTAACAAGGTTTATCTCTAATGTTAGGTTGGGCTCGTTACAGGTATAGATCTTATCAGGAAAGGATTATTATGTTAGATTGCTACCTGCGTAATTTAGGTTAACTAAGTTGCTTTGTTGTAGGTGGAGATCAAGAAAGCAGAACCAAAGAAAGCCTCAAACCCACCATCTGCTCCTTCATATGGTAGCAACTCTAGGGCTCGTTCTTTCAATGATGACTTTGGTGTATTTGGCGGCTCCTATGGGGGTTTTGATAGTGGTTTTGGCCCTGGTCCCTATAGAACACCTGGTCGTTTTGGCAGTAGGCTTGGTGGATTTGGTGGGTATGGCAGTGGCGGGGATGAATTTGGTGGTGGTTATGGAGGTTTTGGCAACAGTAGCTTAGGAGGCTACCGAGGTGAATCTTCCCTTGGTTATCCTGGTCGCTTTGGGCCCTACAGTGGCGGTTTTAGTGGAGGCTACAGTGGAAGTGGATTAGGTGGATATGGCCGAGGTGAAGGCTATGGGAGTTATGGAGGTTCAAGCTATGTTGGTGGTTATGACTCTGGTCCTGGTCCTAGTTATGGTGGAGCAGGTGGGCTGTTTGGAAGGGGAGGATATAGTGGCCGTAGTCGGTACAATCCTTATGCAAGATAGAAAGAGGATTCATGCAGTTACATTTAAGCTTTGCCATAGAAGTTTTCCACAATTTCCTCTAGTTTTTGGCATCTCATGTACTGCATCAATAGATACTTCCTCACAAGTACTAGAGGTGTCTCCTGTTATTGCAAGTGGAAGCTTTTAATGCTTGAATAGTTGCGTTAGACTTGTCTTTTTATTATATGCCTTGGACAAACTTTCTAGATTGCTTCTATTAAGTACTTGTCTGGTTGTGGTTTTATAGATTAATTTCTCTCTAGCTTGTTGTGTAGACTGTAGCACATCCTATTCTGGAGCTTATTACATTCTTCTTAAGTTTTATTTAGTTTAGACATTTCTTCAGTGTTAATTTTATTTAGTTTTGTGTTTACTTTAGCTTTTGATTTGGGTTATCGTCACTGCTTCTGTTCAGTCTCGGTCTAAGATAGGGATTTTCAAGCAGATAACACTATGTTTGAGCCAGCCATTACAGATTTGCTTTAACATTTAGGTCTGATAGTCTATTATTGAGTTGTCTATGTCAAAAGCATGAAACCAGACTTCAGGCTGTTGGAGCTGCTATATGATCTGTGAGTCCTTTCTTAGGATGTTGGATAAGTGATTATGATATAAGAGCTAAAGATAGTTTGACCTCCCTTGAAAATGAGGCTTCGGCTCCTCCTTTTGTGTTAAGACAAATATGTTTTCTGCCATTATATGGCATAAACTGGTGCTTAAGATAAATCGTACAGCACTGGTATTGTGTTTAACATTAATGGTCATTTCTGCCATTATACAGCACAAATTGGCGCTTAAGATAAATCGTGCAGCACTGGTAGTGCATTTAACATCGATGGCCAGTGTAAATGAACCATCTGTTTGTTCTTTTGCATATGCATTCGAATTCCTTTTTTATTTGAGAAAATTTCCGAGTTGTCCAGTTTTAGTTGCAGTATATTTTATTGATGATGATGGAAGGATAATAGATTTTTCTTCTTGTTAACTCTCTGTGTTCTTGACCTGTGATGTAAAAATATAATTATACTCTGCTTTGCTGAACACGAACTGACCTCTGGCATTCATTATATCCCATTGACAATATGTTTCAATGGGATAAAAATTGTATCTTTAGCTTTGAGAAGGCATACTGAGATTCAATTGCTATGCGGGTCTCAATTTTTTGGCAGCATTTTTTTTTCTATGGCATCCACTTCGCCTTGTGGAAATGCTAAAATTTATCAGAACTTTGTAATCCATTTTATAATATTTTCTAAATTATGTTATTGTATTCACGTGTATTGTACATGCGATTATTTTCTTTCATGTTTCCTTCATTTTCTTTTTCGTGTCATATAATCAGTCAAAACTCAAGCTTGATTTACTTTTACTTCTCAAATTATTAGTTAAAACTAAGCTGTGGTTTTGGGGAGTTCGTTTTTTTTTTCTACAATCACAACGAAGAAATACCTATCAGGCACCTGTTTTAAACGCTGATGGGCGGCGATGCACTAAAGTCTCAACTTATGGTCGAATAATTTATCAAGTCTCTTGGGTCATGCTTAAACGTCAATTCTGCAAGGACTACACTAATATTTCGTTTAATTTCGAGCCTTTGAATATGAATCGAGGACAATACAAAAACAGAAAACATTCTCAAGTTCTTTTATCTGATTTTAATTGTTTGGTTCTCTCAAATGCGAGGAGTCGAGGACAACACAGTATCAAGTGCGGATTTGGATCCTCTTCATTGTTTTTTCTGCATGATACGTGTTGCTTGATAAGGGGCGTTTAAATTATCTTTAATTAATTGTTAATACCATCTTTTTTAAAAAAAGGAAAGAAAAAAAATAATAATAAAAACAACAAAACCAAAGTTAAATTTTGTCATATTTTGAACTTTAGTATCGAATAGGAGCCTCGTTGTAAAATTTTGGTGTTGTAATTGAATAACATACGTGACATTACCTTTTTACCCAAATAAATAAAAATGGGTGACATTTTCACAGTTGATATTCACACACGTCTTCGTGGAGACTTGAACCCTTAACATCTCTTTAGGAGCGCTAGGTTTTGGTATTTTTCTTTGAAATTGAAATTGACGCACCTTAGGCGGTAAGGGTCTGATATCGCTAGGTTACTGATCCGTTGGTATCTTTCTTTGAAATTGAAATTGACGCATCTATTTGTCAAGGTGAAATAATTGTGACCAATTAAACACAACTGTTTTCCACTTGCGGGACTATCTCAAGAAGAAAATCCATAGCCTTGAACTTCAGGATGTGTTCGTGACATGGGCTATGGATTTGTAGAAAAAAACTAAAGTCAAGAATAAAACAGAAGTCACAAACCAAGAATGATGTTTCCCACAAAACTGTAAATGTATCGCACCATACATTGGTCAAGTCGAAAACCAAACTTAATAAAGCTACTGTCCACATTTAACCACTGCTATTTTTTGTTCATGGATTTTTTTTTTTTTTTTTTAATAAGGCAAGATGGATTAAAAGTTAGATCAGTAAATGCAGATATTCGAAGCTTGACACTTCAAAATTTATCGGAGGCACTAACACACTAAAGGTTAGATTTGTTCATGATAACATATTAGTTTTTACTGATTTACAAAACAAACAGCTCCAAGGAAAAAAACATAAACAATGAGCATAGATATTCAAATTCAAAAGTCTATGAAAAAAAATTAATAAAAAAAATAACCCCACTTATTGTTTAATGAGTTTTTTTTTTTTGAACCCATAAACACACGCAACTACACACACACACATATAGTTATATAGCTAAGGGGAGAGAAGATGGGTAACACACACACAGTTATAGCTAAGGGGAGAGAAGATGGGTTTGTTACTAACCATAGGTCGTTTCTCTTGCTAAACCTCCGATGAATATATCTTTCCGCAATTCGATAATGAAAAAAAAGAAGAAGGAAAAACAATCGTAAATTTGAATATATAAATTTATTTAAAGAATATGAAATGTGATAGGGAGGTAGAGAATCGAACCTGGGACTGGGGTCCTTCGCCAAATATATGCATCAGAAGAGAGGACGAGTGAGGGAGAGAACGTATTAAGAAAATAAAATTCAAACAGTATTGAGAAGAATGTGACCACTTCCAAGTCCTTTATCATGGTCAAACACTAAAATACTTGGAAAATTCAAACAACTATTAAGAAGGGAAAAAAAAAAAAAAAAAAATTTATAATTAGCACTTAAATTTTAAATCTTAAAATTTTTGCTACTTAATTTTTACAGAGTAGGTTAGTAGAAAAGATGGCCGGGTGAGAAATGTTTTTGTAGTAGTATAATTCAGACTCACTTGTTAGTTTGATTTCTCGTAAAACAATTAATATCATTGATTCCACTTCAAATAATCAATGGCCTTAATTATAATAAATTCTTTATGAAATACAATATTATAGATAGTGGAGTGGTATAATGGTAAAAACAATTTAGAACTCTCTATTTCCTTCTCTTCTAACTAATACAATAAATTATATGTTTATTCTCTTCTCTTTTATCAAATCGAGCTAAAAAAGAAATGACATAATATCTTCTTTAAGGATATATCATCCATCCCTTTTTTTCTCCCTCTCATTTAAATTTTTTATTTTCTACCAAAAAAAGAATAAAAGTTAAATTTGATATTACATATTTGTAAATTAACTTTTGTTTCTTTCCTCCTCCTTTTTTTTTTTTCAATCCAAAAGCGATGTTTCATCGTGGCATGCAAGTGTGGAGTTTCTTCTATCCCTCCTCTTAACATATTTTTTCTCGATTCTTCTTTTCAACCAGATGACATTTATTGGTTTAATGACACCAAAAGAGCACGTCCTAATTGTACAATTTTTAGTGCAATAAATAATTTGATAGATGCTAAAATTTAGAATTTTAAAATTTGTATAAAGATTATTTTTTTTTTTCAATTTTATAATTAAAAGTATTTTACCTGAAAATGTAATCAAGATCAATAATTGTACCGGTGAATTAAAGTGACATAATTTATATATTGTTTTTCATCGATGGTGATGTCAGGCTCCTTATCAAAATTCTGTCTGAATTATGAAGTAAAAATCTTTACCATTAAGCTACTTCCTTGAGGCTATTTAGTTTTTGTTGAGAGGGTACAGAAAATATACTTATATCCTATGAGGAATTAAAAGTATTAAATAAATAAGATGGAATAAAACTTCTTATAGTCTGAGTGCAAAATGCTCACTAACACGAATTGTAGAGGGAGAGATAAATTTATTTATTTGGTAGGGATAGGAATTTATTTATTTATTGGGAAGAGATAGGAATTTACTTATATGTCCCTAATAATGCATTCACACTTCTAGGGTTGCAACCTTGACTTGTTGATAAATTAAAACTTTAGATAATCTTGACACATGATACACGTTGACTTAATATTGAGTTCAAACTGGGTCACTCACATTGATTAAACCTGAGCTGTTGATATTTATTTAGCAATTACAATAACAATTCACATTGAATTGAAGCTCACTTTAATATTGATACGGAATTATAATTTAAGTCACATAATTCTTTTTAATATATATTCTTTTTATACTACGGGTACCTTCCTCGTATCATACTTTGTAATATTTTTGCTCTAAACTTAAATTTTATGATTTTCACACTTCTACTCTTAAAATCGCTCTTGCCCTTATATGACTTCTGTTAGAATTTTCAATCCAACCTAAACAATAAAAATAATTTGTCAAATTTGTGGAAAGAAATTATTATGCTGTCCTCCTATCAATCACAATTTGACAATCAAATAAATATATTAATTTTATTTAATTTTTTATTTACATGTCATGTTATGATTAGTCAAAAGAGAGTATCATGAATAAATATGAAATATATTTTTCAGAATCACCTAGACTTAGAAAAAAACTTCCTTGCACTCTTTGCATAATACCATTGTACTGTACAACAAGTAAATCCAAATCATCTTTGTAATATAAACGTCTACAAGTGTATCCTACAATAATAAATAATTGAATGAACTCGTTGCAAGGTATCATAATCCAATTAATACTCCGCATTACATAGTTTATGCTTAAAGCACTAAAAAGTCTGAAATACCCTTCTTTTTTTTAATCTATATAAACACTTTGTATATACATTATATAATCACCACTCCGTTGTTCTATATTAAAATGGGGTTCCTGTTGTAATCACTCCTCTCTCTCTCTCTCTCTCTAGTCTTGCTCCTCTCTCCCTTTTCTTTTGAAAAATATGAGCGGCGGTTCTAGGGTTTCGATTCCGAGCGTTCTACGGCAAACGATCCAAGACATCAAAGAGGTCGCCAGAAAACACAGCGACGATGACATATACACAATGCTCAAGGAGTGCAATATGGATCCTAACGAGACCGCTCAAAGGCTCTTGTATCTTGGTACTGTTGTGTATAAATATTCAAGTCTGTGTTTTTGTGTGTGTGTGTATATATATGTTTGTACGTATTGCTTCGTTCTTGTGTAGTTTTTCGTACTGGACTATTGATTCACTGATATCAGAAGAGCCCTGTTTATGTCATGGGTTATTGTTGTACAATTGTATTATAATGGCTGTGATCTCTAGGTTTTATGGGTTATTTTTCGGATTGCTTGTTGTGAGAACTTTGAGAAAAGAATGAAAGTAAATCGAATATTTGTTTGTATGTGAAAATTGAAAAAAAATATATCAAAGACTAAGCTTATAAATGTGTTTGCCACAGTGGGTTTGGTTACATGGGTCACAAAACTAAGAAGGAAAAAATTGAATTCCTTATTTTCAAGTTCCTTTTTTTTTTTCCTCAGCAAGCAAAGGGATTTTTTTTTTATGAAATTGTATGTTTGCTTTTGATATCACGGCTTGGGCTTTAGTTTTTTTTTTTTTTAACTGACAATAACATCTTATTGCTTTTGTTTTGATTTTTTAGCTTACTGTGCATCATAAATAAAACAGTTATTTATTTATTTTTTCGTTACCTGTTTTTTATTGCTTTTCTGGTCCTTCTCTCCTTTGTTTAAAGATCTCTGTTGTGGTGGCTGCAAATATGCTATTGTCGTATTTAACATTGAGATCATAAGATTAATTGTGTCCTGCTTATCCCGGTTGTCAGATATGACGGAAATCCCTAAATGTTTTAAAGATCCTTGGTTGAATGTTTTACAGATTATGGTTGTGTTAATTATTTCTTGCGATTCCAGCCAGGTCTTGAGCTTTATGCTTTTGGAAAATTGAAAATATTATTAACAGTTCTGTCATTCTGACAATAATTCATCACTATTTTTGTCTTATTTTTCTGTAAAAAGTTTGGCTATCATAGGATTTATTAACACATGTTTAATGTATATGTTTTTACAGTGTAGCATCAACCCTCAAGTAATGTGTAGTTTTCTACTGTGTGCGCATATCTTGAAAATTATAGTTGCATATATCATTGTTATTTAGTTATTTCAGTGTCTCCCCAGCTATCATTTCTTCTATCATTATGGAATCTCCAGAATTTGTTATTTTTGGCATGCAATCAGGCAAATCATCATGTTTTGCTAGGAAATATGTACTTCATTGTCTACTTATTCTATCACTTTCTTGTTCATCAGGATAACCAGTGTACTGCTTGGTTTTGCAGATACATTTCACGAGGTAAAAAAGAAACGTGATCGGAGAAAAGTGGTAAGCCTAAGCATTAAGTGTTTTCTTTTATGGTCCAGAAAAATATTTTTCTCCTCCTTTGGCTGAAAATAATGATCAAAGTTCATAATTCTAATAGATGCTTTATAAAATCACTTGATTTTGTATGTCATGTTTATGTCCCTCTATGTGGATCAATGTCAGAAATCATTAGGATAACTGTGATTTGATTGTGTACAAATGGCCAATTGATCTACTTAACTGGAAAATGATTGATCAATGCTTTCATATAACTTCTTGATTAGTTTGCATGTAGGATTTGCAATAAGGCATGTCCATTATTGTTGGAACTTTCTTCTATTTTACTTCCCTAGGTCTTTAACTATCCCTTCGGCTCTCTGCAATGAAATAAAGTTGATTTGCTCTATCTCAGCCACGTTGCTTGTTTCGGCAGGTTAACTTTTTTTTTTTTTTTTTATTTTTTTTTTAAAGTCTTGTTATGGGTTGTTTTTCCACCTGAAGTCAAATATTGAGTTGCCAGCAATACCCTTTGACATATAGGGTATCCAACAGCGCCAAAGCCCTGACCTACCAATTTTTTTACCTACAGATACTAGTTGTCTGTGTAGACTGCTGTAGAGTTTTTTTCTTCTCCCGCTTTGGTAGCTGGTATACCTCGATCAACCCCAAACCACTGTTTTTGGTTAAGGCTGGAGTTGAGGCTTGACGCCTCCACAAGTTGAACACAAGACCACAGCCCTAGAGGCCTTATACCAACTCACCTACCCCGTTGGGTGGGATATATTTGATCAAATTGAGCATATATGATGTACATCTATGGCGGTTTAATAGTTAATAAATGTTTTTAGTTCGTTTGGACATATATAATGGAATTTTTGGGATTTTAAGATTTAAATAATTATTTAATAGCCCAAAATTTTGCCTTGGAGGTTTATAGAGCTTTAGATAGGTGGTATGCCCAACAGAGTCAACATGTGATTGGAGCCAAAATGGCACAACGGTATTACAAAATGAAAAATGCCATACCATAGCCCTGCATATTTTAGGGGCAATAGAAGTCATCACAAACACACTCACAGACATGCATGCATACACATTAAATTATATAACGCCAATTGGTATGTGGGAGTGTTGTTCAGGTCTTTATTTTTTACTAATATTGTATCATGTTAATGTCAGAATTAGAATCAGATGTACCATGACTATCCTAAGCTAGCCCTTCAACTGGGAATGCCAAAGATACTTTGGCCTCTGCAGTTTAACCTTTTGTCTCCATTTTTTTTTTTTATAAGTACCTTTTATCTCCTCTTTTGGATGCTAATATTACCATAGTGTCAGATTCTTGTTTCTATAGTTAGCTAACTTTGCCCATTTGATAGTTACTGTTTTTATCCTACTGCAGATCGTGAGCAGCAGAACCTCTGAAGACTCTATGTATGCACCAGGAATGCAGGGGCGAGGTGCTAGGGGTGGTCGAGGGGACTATTCTTCTTCTTATATCTCTTATGGTATGCTTTCACTTCTAATTTGGAACTTTGGATTGCCGTCTTCTTGGAATTCAATCACTTGTTTAAGAATGAGCTTCCATTCACCTTGTTTGGATTGATGACTTACAGTTCTACATTTGCTTTTCTGGTTCACCAAGCATGGAAAACCCCCACATCTAGGCAGTTCCATAACCAAAACTGGGATTTCGTAAAAATTTTCTTTTGTGAACCCTTGTTGAGTGGGTTTTGAGATGTCATGAATTTAGATTCATTTTCACTTCTGTTATGAACTCATAAACCTAAAAGTTTGAGCTCCTTAAAGATGTATGTAGAAGGTAATTTATTATGGCATTAAGTGGATTGATGACTGTTATATTGCACAGTGTGAAAAAGGATTAGCCCAATGGTATAACCTCTCCTCCCTCAAAAGGGATGTGAGTGGTTCGAGTCCCGTGGTGGGCAATTTGTGAAATGTGTGTGTCTCACTTACCTAACCGATAAAAAGTGAAAAAGGATTAGAAAAAAAAAAAAAAACTTAGTGATATTGCAGTTGATTTATTTGACTTGAGATGCATTTTGGGCTCCTATGGGTGATAGGGAGTTTCTCCATTTGCTACTTTAGATTCTCTTATTATATTTTATCTGTTGGGCTTCTTTTGCAATACTTGTGAGATCTTTAAATTTCTTTTGTATGATGCCCACCTTATCTTCTTTGAATAGAAATTAATCCTGTTTTAGTACAAGTAGAAATTGCTTCATATTGCATTGTTTTTTTTCAACTAATGATTTATTGCACTCCTACTTTATGTTACTTAAAACGACTGGCAGATGCTGTTGGCGGAAGGAATGTGAGTGCTCGAAAGGAAAATGGGGTCAACCAATCAATGAGAGGTTCTAGGCCTTTACCAGTTTCACAGAAAGCAGAAAATAATCCAACACCTCATTTCTCCAGGTAAATAATTATTTCCTACATTTAACAAATGTTAATTTTTTACTTTTCAGTAAACAAGTTTCTGTACAGTTAGCTGTTTTTCACATTACTTTGCAAGAAGTTGATGACTTATATATCAATTTGAAAGTTGCTAATATCTGTACAGTTTTTTTATGGTGCGGTCAATGACCCAAAATTTGTTCATATGTTTACAGTTCTAGTCATGAACGTGCCCCCCAATCATCTGCTGTTAATAATAGCAACCTCCCTAAAGGTAGTTCAACGACTGATGCTAATGAGGAGAGAACCGCACCACCTCCACCAACTTTTGATGCAAAACAACCTCCTGCCCCCGTTGCACCTGGAGATAGCATTGAAGAAGGAAAGTCCACATCAAGTTTCAGTGAGTTGCCAAATCCTGTTGCAACATCTGTATCAGGTGTCTACTCTTCTGCATCAGATCCCATCATTGTCCCAGTTCAGAATTCCCGGGTCTCTAATGCAGTGGGTACAATAAAACGTCAAGTCAGAAACCAAAGTATAGCTGCTAAATCTGGTGTCAGTGTCCCAACTGGGCGCAGGTCAAGTTCTGCTCATGATGTTGCAAACGGTATTCAAGCAGTGGCAGTAACTGTGAACTCTACCAATGGAATGAGGCCAAGAATATCCCAGGAAGTCAAAAATAGTCAGCTTCTTGAGCCTTCACAGCCCTTATCTCCGCCAATGGATGATGGTTGTTCGGTTATCGATTCCAATCAGGATTGTCAGACACCCAAGCAACTAATCAGCCCTCCAAAAGGTAATCTGCTTCAACTCATCATATGTTACATGTTTTTCCAGTATTTCTTATAGTAAGTGTGCTTGTTTACCCCATTTATTTCTTGGTCTATTTGATTAATATGCTTCTACGCATAACATGTTACATGTTTTTAGAGTAATTCTTATATAAAGTGTGCATGTCTACCCCATTTATGTCTTGGTCTATTTGATATATGCCTCGCGTGACTAATATCTTAACCCTTTATTAAACCTTAGCATAATTTTTTTTATTGTTTTTCCCGATTTGTTACTTCTTTGTGGCCCTTGATGTAAGTTTCAGTTATTGAAAATTCGCTTGTTTTCCCTACAGTCGTTCTAACTGTAGTCAAATTCTTTCTTGTGTCAATATTTTCCTTTTGCGATTCCTTTCTTTTCTAAAACCCTCCATGTTAGATCTCTAGGTACCCTATCATAGGCTTTCCTATGAAGATCTTTTTTCTTCTCTCTATCTTTCCATTAGTCTCCTCAATAAGTAAATAGTATCCACAGTTGACCTTTTTGGCATAAATCCAAATTGATTTTTCGACACTTCAGTCTCCCGTCTTAGGCATTGCTCGATTACTCTCTTCCAAAATTTCATATTATGACTCATTAATTTAATACCACGATAATTATTACAACTTTGTCCCCTTTATTTTTATAGATAGGTGCTAAATCATTTTTGTGTCACTCATCAGACATTCTTTTAGTTGTTATTATCTTATTAAACAATTTTGTTAACCAAGACAAGCCATCCTCCCCTAAACACTTCAAACCTCGATAGGAACGCCATCGATCCAAAAGCCCTTCCTGATTTCATCCTCCTTAAGCCATCCTAAACACTTCCCTCTTGATGTACTCCCTTCCGTCCCATTTTAAGCATCCACCTTCCCATTTTTGGCTGTCCCAAAATAATTGTCCCAAATGGAAATCCAATGCACCATCTTTTGTAACATTCCAAAGATTCATTTTACTAAAAGATGGGCAAGGTTGCATCAACTAAAAGTATCTAGCTGTATATATTTCCTTGGTGATTTTTTCCTTTTTCCTTGTCAGTGATGTTCAGGAATCTATCTTCTGTTTGTGGTTTTAAATGCTTAATTTTGTTTTTATTTTTGGCATTTTAACTTTGCCCTTACTTCCAAACAGTGGTTAAATCTGAGGCAACTATTGCAGTTGAAGCAAGTTCTCAGTCACTACCTCCACTGAATGTCTCAGCTTTGAAGGAAGCAACTTCAAAGCTTGATATGAAGTTGGAGAAGCTTGTTATCTTTCCTGACCATCTCCAAGTCCCTGAAGCATTTAAGAATGGATTGACTTTTGGAAGTTTGGATCTCCAAGTCCCTGAAGCTAATTCCATCCAAGAAAATGATGAAGTTGCTAGGGAAGTTTCCCAGAGGTCAGTATACATTATAATAAAATTTGAAGTCTTAGTTTCTAAGTTATCTTCGTTTTATTCTTCTTCTTTCTCTCTGTTTTTTATTTTTATTATTTTAAGCTTAATCATGACAAATGCATCCATGGAGCACACATATTTCTTTTCAATGATCGAAATGATTCCCAGATTGGTTCCATATATTGTGGTTTTAAAAGCTGGTGGTATATGTTTCATAGGATTGGTCACCTGGAATTTCTTATTTGAATTGCTTGATTTTTGGCTTTTCATCCCTTCTATTTACTGGTGATCTATGCACATTGTACTTGTGTTCATTTTACATTTGTCGTTCTGTTACTTTTCCATCTCACATTTCTATTATACAACTGGGTGCAGCAATCCAAGCTCAATTTCCCAAGAAGGAGAATCTTTTGATCATCCACAATCTCCTCGTGTGCCTGAAAATCTATCACCATTGGAAGACAACATCTCAGCTGGTGCTGTTTCGAATTATGACCAGTTGAAGCAAGAGATGGTATTGCCTCTAGGACCTCAGTACCCACTTGTTCAGACTACCCCAAACTATACTTTTGCTTTTAGTTCACCAATGCCAGGGAGCCAGCTCGTGCAATCTGAAGGACCTGAGACTCAGGCATGTGATATTGCTTGCTTGTTATTGCCATTTGTTTATCAATATTTTATGTATTTGTTTTTTCATTATATATTTCCATTTACAATGAAGATTCTAGGTGGTCACTTCAATATATTTGATAAATTGCTTATGCGAAAAGATGTAGGTTAACTGTAAAAATGTCAGCTGAGAACTGCATCTTTCTAATTAGATCTTGATTCTCCTTGCCTAATAGCAGACTGACCAAATTTTAGGTCAACTGTAAAAATTTACACCTAATATTGTAGTGGATGGTGTATCGAGCAGTGGCAATAAGTTCTATGTGGTATATTATATGGGTCATATGCAGGCAGCTGTCTTTTAATCTTTCTGGAGATGATTTCATTTGATATTTTTTGAGAATGACATGAGGTGATTGAGAAGAAAAAGCATTTATCTTGTGAGAACAATCAACCCTTAGATAGCAGTGGAGATGAAGTTCACATTATATGAACATGAAAGCCGACGAGATTGATAGTACTGTGATTTTTTCTTGTGCAAGGAACCCGTGTTGACGGATCTTAATTGGTCTGGTTGTGCCTACATGTTAATTTTGGTTGCTCACACTATTTTATCAGAGAAATTGCAATAACTGCATAATCACAAACTGTTAAAGTGTGTGCTAGTGCATGCACAAGCGAAGGGCCTAAGCTACTCGTACTTGGGTCTCAAGTGACCTGAAAACTCTCATTTTTATTCTTTGGATAGGGACAATTCAAAAACTAGATTAAGGTGGCTACCAGAAATACCATCATTTTTCATTACCCTTTAACAAGCACAGACTGATGCTTTCATTGTCCTTGCATTTCCACAGTATCTTAGAATGAGATTGTCAACTATATTTTATTTCTTTTCCACAAACAAACATCTTTTTGTTATTTATACTCTAATTTTAATGTATCCATGCCAAACTGTAGGGTGGGAATGCTCTGGCTCTTTCTACATCAGGTTCAACCCCCCCAGTGACTCAACCTGCAGGAGGCGTGCAGAGTTCTACAGCTGTATCTCCTCATCCGGTCTTCCGGCAGCCATATCCTCCTAACTACTTTCCCTATGGCCCCTATTTTCCTGGTTTTATGCCCCATTATTCACACCAGTTTTTGGGCCCTGGTGTTTTCCCTCAGCAGCCTTCAACTGGCAATGCATATCTACCCCCAACAGCTGCTGCCCCAGGGGTCAAATTAGCCAATATTCCACAGGGCAAGCCGGGAACTAATGCTGTAAATCTGTCCCACTTAGGACTTCCACTTGGCTATGGTTTATATAACACCCCTGTTGGTTACAATACCAATTCAGCCGTGATTTCTGGGAGTTCTGCTGGTAATGAAGATCCTGCAGCAGCCACATTGAAGGAAAATAACCTTTACACAAAGGTTCAACAGGTTTGTTCTGGTTCTCCCTGCCATTCCTGATACCTTCCTCACTTAAACTAATATAGAAGTTGTTATAATATTATATATTAATTCTGCAGCATGACATTTAACCAGCTCTGCAGTTAAATAATAGGGCCAAATTGCATAAAACCCCCTTTACTTTCACTTTTTGGCAACCAAAAAAAAAAAAAAATTGAACTAAATCCCCTGAACATCCAATTGTTGCATAGTGATGTTATATTGACAAAAATGGCCCTTAATATAAATTTTAAAAAAATAGGTTTCCTTTAAAATGATTTTTATAATAGGTTCTATTTTCCTTTCTAATTTTTTAAAAATCCAACTTGAAGAAAATTTTAAAAGTTAATCTCCATTAAAGTGTGTTTTAATGATGAACATGCCCCCCAATATAAATTTAAGAAAAAATGGGTATTCTAAAAAATGATTTTCATTTTATGTTTTCTTTTCCTTTTTAATATTTAAAAATTGTTCCAAGGTATTTTCATTTTGTTATAGATGCACCATTATTATTATTATTATTTTCGGAAATAATTTTTAACAACACTATGCTCAATGAGTTATTTGTATTAATTTTAATCTCAAGGGCTCCATTTTCTTAAATTTATATCAAGGGGAACAATTTTTGTCATTTATAACATCACTTTACAACAATTGAATGTTTGGTAAAAAAAAAAAAAAAAAAATTGTAGAGAGGTTTTGTGCCAAAAATTGAAGTGGAGGGTGGTTTTATGCGATTTACCCTAAAATAACATAGTTATTCTTTTTTGGTGCATGTAAGACTCGTCAAAGAATAATTTAGTAATAGTTCCAGCATGTGTGTGCCAACTGCCAGTGCTATGCATTGAGTCAATAATAAAATGATGATTCTTATGTTGTATATGGATTAGAAAAACTTGTGGTCTTGTTGATCTCCTTGGCTGAGAATTTCAAATTTTGGTTTCAATCATCTTTTCAGTTATTTCACGCTTTTCTATATATGTTTATTGTACTACTTTCATTTCTGTCGGTCTTTACACCTCTCCACAGTGCAATATGCATATATTCTCAGGGTTTCCATGTCTATGTGAGTTTGATCGAAGGTTTTACATTTTTCAAGTTTTCAACAATCTTATATGTTCCTTCTGCTGAGCAGAAAGTGTGTTTTCTTGTGTTATTATTATATGCCATAATTCTTCTGCAGTATGAATTTAAGTAATTTTTTTTTGTTGATTGCGTGGACCTATGGCTGTGACTACGTTGTCTATGACTAATACACAAGCTGTAGTCATGGCTAATACTCAATAGCTTATGTATTATCCATCTGTAACAGTTAATCTTGCAAAGTGTCATGTTATTTTTTCAATGCGAAAATTATTGAGCCACATCAGTCAGCAGTTGCTTTCTTTTTCTCGTTTTTGCAGACTGAAGGTCCACTACTCTGGGTTTCTCCATCTGGCCGAGATAATATATCCAATTTGCAGGCCAATTCTTTCTACAACTTACATCAAGGACAGCATTTCATGTTCTCACCTGCGCAGGTTGGCCATGGCGCCTATACTGGGGTGTATCATCCGGCACCGACAATGGTTGCTTCATCAACTGCTCCTCCACAATTGATACCATCTCAGGCTATGGGTGGACCGGTTGAAACTGTGGGACCCCCTCCTGTTTTTCCGCAGTCTCAACATGCACTCGGTTGGAATCGTAATTGTTAAATGAGGAAAGCATTTGGGAGAATTATGAAACAAAGGCTTGATCCTACATGTAAATATAAATTAAAATTGCGGCCCAGAACCCTCGTGGATGGAGAAAAGTTACTTTGGTGAGTGTATGAAAAGATCAAGTTAGTTGTACATCTAGTATCGCTTATGCTGGTTTTGGTCGTCTCTTAATCTTTAAACTTGCTCTTGCAAGTGAATAGTTAGTTCTTCGTTCGTAGTCGATGACTTTGAGGTTATAGAATATTCAGACAGGTGGGACATTCCATTCTTTCCCCACTGACCTGTATATCAAATTTTGATAGGAAAGAATGTATGGATTATACACTGTAATTGGAACGACAACATTGGCGGCATTTCTATCCATATATAATCAATTGCCTGATGCGGCTTTTTATTCATTTTGTTAATGCTGAATTAGCAAGAAATACAAGTTGAAGTAAACATACTCTGAACTGTTTTCAATTTTGAACTTTTCCATTTCGTCAAGCCACGAACTCAAAGGTTTTTATTTTTTATTTTTTATTTGGCATTAATCAAAATCCATAATAAAAACAGTGATTGATAGACCGAATTCAAGTAGGGTGGGGTGGTATTACATGAAAATTACAATGAAACATTTGACAAATTGGAATATACTAGATAGGGTGGGATTTACCACTCTACTCACATAAATTGAATTAAATTCGGTAACTGTCAAATTCGGTACCTAAATTATTTTTCTAAAAACTATGCTATATGCAAATGTGAGCCATCCATTGTAACACTCGAGAGAACTATAAAGGGTGACTATAGAAGAACACACACAAAAATGCAACTGAATGGCACATAGGTCAAGAAGGATCCTTTCATTCACGTAATGTGTTCCCTGGAGACAAAGAAAGAAAGAAAGAGAAAAAGAAGTGAGTATGAACTAAACCCTACTTATAAAAAAAAAATATATGGCCTGTCAATTGAGCCTGCCTTGGTGAAAATTGTAAGAACCAAATCTGTACATAGCTAAGTCTAAATGATAGCATAGAAGAGATAAAAACCACTGTAAGTACTCAAATCTGTACATAGCTACGGGTAATGATATCATAGAGGAGATAAAACCCTTGCGTCGGCGACCACACACTTACCGTCTCGTTTCTATAAGCTTGTTTAATTCAAACAATGTTTGAGGTATCATTTACATTTGACTTCTCTGTGTTGTTGTTGTCTTCAGAATACTTGGGTTTGGAAGGAGAAGATGAAATTGGCTTTGGAAGATTCTTCGGAAGCTGGTTAGTCGCAGCCTCACTCGACTCCCTCAAGTTAAGTGATGTGTAGACTGACATTCCACATAGAGCTGTAAAAGCCCCACAAATGCTCACAAACCCTGGATCTGAATTAAAAACCAAGTACCCTCCAAGTAAAATGACACAAGTTTTAAATTGGCCTAAAACAACATGAGAGGTTGCAGAAGTGGCTCTGCAACAACACAACAGATAATCCTAGTTACAATTAGCTGACTATGGTTGTAAAATCTAAAAAGAAAAGCAAGGTATTCACATGTATAACGTGTGCACTCTTTGGTATTTTCTTATTCACGTTGAAAGAAAAAACTGGATGGAGAAGAATAGATCCTCACCCAAGTGCCAAAGCTCCGGACCATTGCAAGAGAAAACCGAGGACAGCTGATACAACGACAGTAGTTGAGTTACTAAGGTTCCACTTGAAGGATAATACCCCGGGAGGGTCCAACCATGGCATCAGAGCTAGTAAGAAGAAGACGGTGACAGGGGTAGTCTTCCACATTAACCTACATTCAAATGCTGCTGTTCATATATCCGTGTACCGGGGCACTTAGTCTTTTGATCACTAAAGAAATGGAAAGATGTTAAAAGGCGCGCATTACTTACGCAAGGGCAGTCCAGTTGCCTTTCTGCTGCAGATTAGACCAGAGGATTTTATTTACGGCGCTTGGGATTATCCACGCGACTGCAATGCAGGCGCCAAAGAAATTGAATTCTAAATCCGTTACAGTTGCAACTGCCACACCTGCTGAGACAATGACTAGAGCCAGAATCTGCAAAACATAGTGCAGGCTTTCTCATAAATAACTTGAAAATTTATAAAACAACAACAACATTATTCGAGCCTTTTCCCAATTACTTGGGGTCGGCTACATGAATCCTATGTTTTCGTTCTGCTTATTATATAAGTAAAATGAATAGTATGAGATGCAGGGGAAGAGGATGGAGGAAGGTTTATAAATCACCTTATTGGTAGAAACAGTTTTCCTGAAGAGAATGAACTCTGCAAGAACAATGGTTGGAGTGACCGCGATTTTAGCCATCTGGTAGAAACCAACACTGCATATGAGCTGAATCGTTAGAAAACCGAAAAAAGTGATATTAAGTATGGTGTATTCAGAAAATGTTAAGCTAAAAGGTCGGCATTAAAACCTGTTATGCTTTAGACTTGTATTGGCAAGGCCAGATGCAAGAGCCATGACAGCACCCAACGAGAAGAGAGACGAGAAAGGAGTAGTTCTAGAAGGAGGAGATACCGGAAGCAATGAGAATGCCTTGAAAATGGCAAGTAAAAGCCAAGCAGAAGCGTAGTGGATTAATGTTAAAAAAATTGGGAAATTAAACCCGACTTTCCCCATGACCTATAAGCACCAATGAAACCATATATCAGATTGAATGACTTATCAAATATATATATATATATATATATATATATATATATATATATATATATATCAGATTGAATGACTTATCAAAAATATATATATATATATATATCAGATTGAATGAACATTAAACGAAATTTCAATCTCTTATTCCGGTAACAATGTACATTGCTATATCCACCAAAGGGTACAAAAAATTGTCACAAATAAGAAGAAAAGGAAGGAGTACAAACTAATTTGTTCGCCATAATTATTCCGACTGCAACCATGAAATTGAAGGACATTGCCACAACAGGCCCGCAACATCTCTGTTGTTGACGCTTGGCTCCTTCTGAAGTTCGGAGTTCATTATAAAGAGAACCTCTGAGGTCTTCCAATGCTCTACCTGAGATGGAATGATTTTAAGTAAAATAAAAGTAGAAGAAGAAGAAAATGAGCAGTGAGTAAAACACAATCTCACAGACGTTTATTTGCTGCTTGCACATCTAAAATCCTTTGCAAAAATTACCACAAAGAGCTTACCTCCAGCTCAGTGGTATCTCGTCTACTTTTTAAGTTAAAAGCTGAGGGGTCAAGTCCCGAGAAGAGTCAATTGTGAGCGTGTGCGAGTGACTTGCTTACCAAAAAAGGGAAGAAAAAAAAATATATATATATATATATATATAAGTATATCTCCAAACAGAAAGGAAACTAGAAAAAGACCAACTAGTGCAATGAAAAAGTCACTTGAAATTTTTTATTAACTTGAAATTTTTAAATCTGAAAAAGTGATATATTCTACAAAAAAAATTTATATAATGGAACATGAACTCAAAATAACAAATTTTCATTTACCAGGCCAACAAGAATTAAACCATGCATAGTGTTCATTGCTTTCTTGAATAACCTAAAATCCTAAAACCTTTAATAACCTTTAAAATTCTCATATGAAATTCAATAAAAACTTTTTACGGTAAAACAACAAAATAATGCCATTAATTTGATTAGATTATGAGACCTAGTACCCACTATTGAAAAAAATAATAATGATATGTTGAAAAAAGATAAGAAAATCAAATGAGAATTAAAGGAAAGAAAAGAGAGACAGAGACAGAGACACACATAAGAACCAAAAACTAGAAAAAATAAAAAATGAGATCAAAATATATAAGATTTCACTCACAAACCTATTTTTATCGAATTAACAGAATCATATGGAATATGGACCATTGATGTCGTCAATGTCTAGGTTATGAGCAACCATTACCCACTATTAAAAGAATAAATATGAATAACATACATTAAAAATGATAATTTTACATGAAAGCCAAAGATTAAAGTTAAAAAAAAAAGGTACTCCGTAACATTTTGGATCAAAAGAAGATTAAAATACAATCATTATGTCTCAAGCAAGCAAAACCCTTTTCATCAAATTATTAGAATCTTATGGGATGTGGAGCATTAAATATGAACTAATAAAATAATCAAGAACTAATTAAGATAACTTAAGAGTGGAAATCAATTGAAGTAAAAATAGAGAGGAAACAAAAAAAAAAGAGGGTTATGAATAAAAGAAAAAAAAAATTAACGAACTCGTTCAAATGGCTCAGCATTCCACTAAAATAGTAGCAAGAATGATAAATGTAAATAACCCATAAAAAACTGCCTACTATGAAATGATCTCAAACTTTAGAAATAAGAACCAAAATCTCGTTTGTGTTAAGAAATGTATAAACCTATGCATGCATCTAGATATTCTGAACAAATCAAATCCATACAACATATGAAACATCAAATACATTGTACATATTGCCAAACACATTCAATCATATATATATATATATATATATATATATATATATCATATATATAACTAACATAACAAAAAATAATAATAATAAAAAACATAAAAAAATAAATACATAAATAAAACCTGCTTCGCCTGCATCACTGTCTCTTCGCTTGATAAATCTTCTGACATTTTTCCCAAACAAAGAGTTGATCAATCCCATCCCCACCTAATGATAAGCATCTGTCAAGAAAATATTAAGCTGAAAAAAACCATTATATTAGCAATGAATACAAAATACTGATGAGAAAAAAATGTGAAAATGTTAATTAGAAGAAGAAGAAAGGAGGAGATAAGTATAATGGGAACAGGTTTATTTGGAGGAGGACACTGTTCCCGGAAAAAAAAAATTGAATAATCAATAAATTAATATAAACTTTGTTATAATCACCTTGGTGTTAGCATATTGGACAACAAAGACCAATTGTAAAATGACATGGTTCTATTGGCGACCCATGATTGGTTACATCCTCAAAAGGTCGGTAATAATAAAATATCTTATATAAAAAAATAAAGATATATTTTAACTTTAGTGTTTATATTATAATCCAAGAGTTTAGGTTAAAGTGAAAACTCAATTGTACAGAATGCAGAGATTATGCAGACATTTGTCAGGCACTTAAGGTCTTTAAGAAACAGTCAAAACCACATACATTGTAAATAGGTCGGTCCTATGTGAATTTACATAACTTGTACCCTCCTAGAACATTTGTATAGTTTGCGAGAAATTGATCCCGGACCTATTACTTATTAACTGATAAATAAAAAAATGTATTAATTTTTAGTTTTTATTTATCTACTAATTGATCGGACCAATAATCTCAAACAGTGTAATAATTTCTCAACCATTCAATCTTTGTTAGAGCAATCACATGCCAATGTCACATGTATTTTCATGGTTACACTGTTCAAAGTGAATGGTCACTTTTCTTAGAACCAGCCAAATTAGGATGTCACATGTACTTTGTTGATTTTCATGGTTACACTGTTCAAAGTGAATGGTCACTTTTCCTTTCACAGTCCCAAAGTGTCAAACAATACAAGAAAGGTCCTTTTCCTGTCAAACATGCAGACGACAGGATTTTACTTCAAGTTTTCAAAAGAGAGTAATAAACTGTCAAACATGTTCATGACATAAATTTTACTTTCAACCAAACAGCATTTCAGGAAAACTCTAGTTTTCAATTTAACTCATTCCATAATCAATTCACAAAAAGTGAGAACGTAAAATTTCTGCAAATAATGAGAATGAATTAATCAGCGGATTCATAATTTATATTTTCTTTTCTTTTTGTGGAAATAAATGGGAATGAAAATGTTTACAGTGTTATTCATATTTTGAAATGATTACAATCAAGTATTGATCTCTATTTGCAGATGAAAGAAAGGTTTTAGAGAGGATGAGCTTTAATATTTTGAGTATCATGTTGCTCAAGGAATTCGTTTTCCTTTCTGATGGCATCAAGATCTGCTTGTAGCTTGTCAATGTTTATGCTTCGGGAGGTCAAAGCTGCAAGTTTGGCTTCATGTTCAGCCACTTCCCTTTGCGTCCTATCAGTGGCGAGGATTTTTTCTGAGATATGTTCGAAGCTCTCATGGATGCTGGTGAGGAGTCTGTAACATTCCCGTGCTACTGGATCTTTCTTTGCTTCCCTACATATTATAAATGCTTCTTTTTTCAGTTTTCAGTTAAGCAGACAAAGGAAGTAGTCTCGAAAAATGGTTCTGAAAACCAGTTAAATTACACAAACAAAATTAGGACAGGGAAATAAAACAAAACCTGCACCATTGCACAGTTGATACCTGAACACGGTTTCATCAACCACTGCATAAGTTCGATGAAGGCGCTCTTGAATAGAGTTACTCTCTAACTGAAGCTCCCTCGTTTCTTTTAGAATCCGCTCTATATCTGCATCCTGCTTCCTGCTGTTCTTAGTGATCTCCATGACCCGCTGAATATAAGATCTCCTAGATGCCAACTTGGGCTTTTTCTGAAGGTCTGCTGAAAGTTTACAATGTTCCTCCTCTCTGTGACACCCAGGCTAGGAACAGTTACATTGACCAATTACTACAGATGTGGAACTTTGATTATTTAACTTAAACAAAGATACAGTCAGCCAATGGAGGGCTTACTTTCAATGCCATCTTTATCATGTAGTCTGGAATGTTTGCTAATTATGGTTATATCTCACAATGAAATGTCTTTTTCATTACACAAGAATAACACAAAATTTAAAAGTACAATCATGCAAATACTTCAAATATCACAGGAAAGGAATGAATGAAATAGTCCCTACCCAAGATAAACCATCAGACCTCTTGCTACAAATGGCCATTTGGTCCAAGTGCTAAATAGGCAAAAAAGATAAGTGCTAAATGTTCGTGCCTAATACAAGATTTCTCAGTGTTAAGTAACTTCATTCTCCAACTATTTTTTGCTGTTCCATTGTAGTTATCATTTACCAAGTAAATACCTATCTTTGGCTTCATTAAGACAATAAAGCCCATAAGATCTCTCTAATCTCAACTACAAAACTCAAAATTTATCAAGTGTAAGTTTAATTTGATGAACCAGGAATTAAGCCACTTCAAAACCGAACTATCAACGCAGCTATCAAAACCTGGACTGGCAACATTTCACATTTCAGTAATCCAAAATAGTACCCTGGTTGTCAGTAACATACCTCCTTTTAGTTTCAGATAAGACATGCTGTATATCCAGCTCAATATCTTTCAATTTTTGAAGCTTTTCTTGAGTCTCTGGTTTTGTTGCAGAAAGAACCTCCTCAAGACTTCTCCTTTTCTCTTCCAAAGGTTTTCTAAGGGTATCCCTGCAGTATATGTTTAGGTCAAGTCAATACTTGCATGTGAACTTGTGAAGCTAGCATTATATGCTACATTCTCTATAAGCGTTATTTTTCATGGCTAGACCCATGATAGATTAGAAAAAGAAACCATAAAAAAATTCTATTGAAGAAGGATCGCCATGAGATTCAGAGCAAATGAAGTGTTATTGACTTTTTCCTACATTTATTATTCCATGAAAAGGGAATAATTTTTTTTTACTATGTCCATACCCGTGAAAATTGCATCATAAAAAAGCTCCGAAGATATTTTGATGCCAAATGTTACTGTTATTGTTAGCATCACAACGCAGCACCAAATTATTACTGCAATTTGAGGTCAGGAAGGCTAAAAAAAATTGATATCCTATAAAAAATTAACTTTAACCACTCACTACCACTTGATCTTGAGATTAATATATATATATATATATATATATATATCAACACACGAAACTTACGTATCTTGTGCATAAAATAGGTCAATACCCTTAACAGATCAAATTTGTAAAATAACAAACGGATATTTATGGTAAGTCCATGGTAACTAGCAAACTAGGGGTAAGAAGCCCTAGTTCTGTTAGAAAGTCAATAACTTGTTTTCACTACAATGATTTTGAAGCAGAAAAATAACAAAAACATAGAGCAATGAGAGTCTCCGCACAATAATTTGGGGGCTCTATACATTCTAGAATCCCAGCAAAGCAGATTGGAGGGAGAAATATCTCACTGTCATATTTAGCATCACTTTCTCAAGTACAGAAATGAAGTGAGATTAAATTTTCAAGAACACGAATAGAAACAATAATATCCTACCACTGTGAGTCCAGCTCCACAAGCTTTTGCCGCCTTGCATCTATTTGCTCATTGAACTGCACAACGTAAAACTCAGCTGGATGTTGCTCATCAAATGCCATTTCTGCCGCTGCTTTCAACAACTCATGCTCTTCTTCTAGATGCTCTGATTCTAAGGTCTTTGCGGATACCTCCCCCTTGAGCACTTTTTCTTGACTTCGTAATTTTTCAATCTCACATCTTATCTGTACAATTAAGCATCAAGCAACTAAAAACTGTCAACATATACATACATATGCATGCACACACACATTTCCATCTTGACAGAAAGTATATACCCTAACAAAAAACATAGCATTATTTCATCCGCTTGCCCAGAGCTATACTAGTCACTCATGTACATCTTCGAGTTCATAATAATTCAAATATGTATATAGTTATATTACACATTTATACCTTGCAGGCCTGTTCTCTTAGAGAAACTAGTTTCTGCTCAGGGTCAGAAACATGGTCATCATCTCTTTGAACTGTAGTTTCTTCATCAACAGATGCATTAGTTCTTGAATCCTCCAATTCTTCCAATGAACTTTTGCTGTTTATCATACTTATCGCTTCCTCCTCACTGGAATCTTGCATCCTGTATCTGGGTATGTCAACAGCAGCTGTCTCATCCGTCTTTTGTAGCATAGGATGAGTCTCACAGGGTCCACGGACAAACGCATCTTCAGCTTTAGAATTTGAGGGGACTGGCACTTCAGTTTGCAGACCCAGATCTTTTAGTCTGGTTCTAACTTCCCGTTCATTCAGATCTACTCCTTGCCTATCAGCCTTCTCTATCCAGTCCTTCGGGGTTTCTTTAAAGTGAACTTCCTTTGTTGTTGCATTAGTATTGATACCAGGTGTATCAGCAGATTCTCCAACTTCTGATAATTCAGAAAGCTTCTCCACCAAGAATCTCACCAACTTATACAAGTCATCTTCAGATGGATACAGGAACTGCCGCAAGCAACACACATATTCTGTAATTAAAAATAATTTGAGAACAATAAGAACAATCATAACCAGATTCAGAATAAAAGGAGGCACTGCCAACAAGTGTGGATTTAAGCATAATCAGCCCAATATGGTAAATCCAATTAAACATACATAGCTACACAATAAGCAAAACAAGAAAAACAATGGGATTGTTTGATTCAGTTATCTGAAAGCAGTTTTCAGACAGATCTGCAAAAACAAGCCTTGTTTCGTTTTCGTTTTCTTTTTTAATTTAAAGTTTTCAAACATCGTCAAATAAAAAAAAAATTGTTACAGAAAATTGTTTTCAGAAAAGTGAACCAAATAGGCAGTGAGTCAGAACCCCATCACCATCTCCCTCCACACTTAGTAGGAGAAGAAAGAGATTGAATGCAGACGAAATCAAAGTCACTGTGAGTGTGACACAGCGGTAACATTTGTGAATCATAATGGCTATTAAGTTTTTTTTTTTTTTTTTTTTTTCTTCTCTCTCACCAAAAGTTCACGTAAATGCGCACACACCCACTATATTACCCCTAGCAGGGCTCGAACTCTCAAAGGGGAGAGATCAAACCATTTGGGATAATGCCTGTTAAGGTTTGATATAAAGAGTTGTTTTTTCTTCTTCGTCTTTATAAGAGAGCTACAATTGAATATCCCTGTTATGTTCAAAGTCATTAACCTTGAAATCAAAATAAAAAACAAAACTTTAAGTCCTAAATGGTATCGTTTCAAGATGAAAATAATCAATTAAAATAAGTTCTTCTGAATTCGATCTAATTCAATAAATGTCACTAATCTTCTGTTTGATTGCTGAGAAAAAAAACAAACAGGAAAAGGGAAAGAAAATCTAATTCTAAACCTAAGGTTTAGTATAAAGAGTTGTTCGTTCTTCCTTGTCTTTATAAGAGAGATACTTAATTTTGTTTGTTCTAATTTGGAGTATCGACTCAAGATTATATAAACTTTCTGGGATCGATGATGACAGGGAATGATTCATTCATCAAGGTATTGTTTTTTCCTTTATTGCTGGTACCAAAACTACAACTCACACAGTATCACACACACAAACCTCCCAATAGGAAGTTGAACACCTTGAACTATCATGTGGGAGGAAGGGATACAAGGCTCTGTTATTTTATTTTCTTATTGTTGGTACAAACACTCCCAACTCTCTCTCAGTAATATAAACAAAAAGTGTACTGGAAAATTGGAATAATTATAGCAAAGTTTTCATGTTGTAGGATTACATAGAGCGCAATGATGTCACAACTGTATATTTTGAAGTCATCTTACCTGCGGAGAACTTGAGCATGGCAAAGGTTGAGGGTTTGCTTGAGAAATTTAAGCTTACTACTACGATCAAGACAAGTGACATGGGCCTGTTCAACCGAGAAGGCGTGATCAAGAAATATGACACCCCTATACAAAGTATGAAATTAATACCATAGGCTAATTTACTTTATCTTTTATATTATAACTTCGCCGTATAGTAAATTCATTTCTTCCTTCTGCAGTTCTTGAGGAATTCTATCCTATAAGACTTGAATTCTATGAGAAAAGGAAGGCAAGTTGTTCAAAAATGAAATTAAATTGCAGACATCTGAATTTCTTGTTTACTTTATGGACATGGCTGCTAACTAGAGAATAATTTTGTGCAGAAGTATTTGTTACCCATTCTTGAAATGGAATTGTTGAAACTGGAAAACAAAGTTAAGTATGTAACTGAAGTTAATAAGTTATTCTAAATTTGAATTTCATCCAATAAATGCCACTAATCTTTCGTTTGTTTGCCGAAAAAGTGCAGGAAAAGAAAAGAAAATCTAATTCTAAACAACCGATTTCTATATAGATATATATAATGGATAATTGTAATAGATGGTGATGATACCTTGTGGAAACTCATGTCTCCGACGAAACCTAGGTTTTTGAAGGCGTCGGCGAGATCTGAAGAGAGCTTGAACTGGTGGGTGGTGGAGTCAGGTAAAGAGGTGGGGAACGACGTCGTATCGTCGATGAGGCGCAGTGACTGAGCGCAGATGGAGGCCAAAGTGGCCGGCGTGAGGTCTCGGATCGAAGACACGCCGGTTGGGATTGTAACCCCAGAGTTCGCCAGAGATTTCAACAAAATTTCTTGCGATTCCTCCATTTCTCTTTCCTCTCTCTTCCTTCCCCTCTCTCTCTCTCTATCTCTCTCTGTGTCTGTGTGAAGAGGGTCCGTCCTCCTCTCTCTGTGTATGTGCGCGCGGTGGTAGTTAATACCGCGTCGTTTTATTCACAAAGCACAGCAGCACCACACGAGTATCCTTTATTTTTTTATTTTTCAAAAAAAGGAAAAAATATACATTACAAAAATTCAGTAAAAATAAACAAATCATAAGCACAAATAGTTATTAGTTATATATGCAATATATTGGATATTAAAATGTTACAAGTTGGGTTACTCTCTTCTTGACACATAGCATGTACACAGAGCATAGCTAAACAAAATTAAGAGATGAAATTCACAATGAAATGAATGATAGAAATATAAATTAAAATAAATATTAATTAAAGAAAGTTGGCATTATAAAGAGACAAGGGAAAAAAAAAAAATCCTTTAAAAGTTGATAGTTGTCCTCTCCCTGTACACTTATAGGTGAGCGTCTATCCTATTATTACAAACTAATCATGTTAGTTTGAATAGTTAAAGAACGACTTGTTTAAAACTCAACCGGAGTTCATTAATCAAGTAAACGAGTTGAATTCAAACTAAATTTTTTAATTTATTTAGTAAACATGTCAATTCCGGACATCATTAGTCTTGACTCGTGAACATTAAACTTATGCAGACTTGTATGTATTTATAAATATAGGCTCATGACTAAGGATGGCAAATTCTTCATTCCCGTCGGGTCCTCGCCCCCCCCCCCCCCCCCGGGGTTTAAAGCGGGGATGGGGACCCTTTTATGTAAACGGGGATGGGGATGGGGGTAAATTTTCAAAATCCGTCGGGAACGGGGTAGGGGATGGGATAAACCCGTCCCGATTAAGTGTTAAATTACTAATATACCCTTATATTAATAATTTATTACTAAATTAGATTTAGTATATATATGAAAGTAAGAAAAATTATGTTTTTTTTTTAAAAAAATAATATATGTTAATCGGGGCCGGGGCCGGGGATGGGGCGGGGACAAGGATAAGGGGTCGGGGGACGGGGGCGGGCTCGTGAAGCTCATGATGAATCAATCAAAGCGATTTTAAATACCTGTTCAACTTCAAATAGAGCCCAAATATGAATATGACATCGAAGTTGATTTTTTTAATTAAATGCGCCGAGTTGAGTCGAGCCCAAACTTTTTAAGATAATGACAAATTAATTTTAAACTTATTAAAAATAATGATGACCTGAGCCAGAGCTATGCTATTCAAGCTCAAAATAATCCCAAGTTGAACCACAAAGGAACAAGGCAAACTTGCACAAATTGAAGCTTGATTCGGTTCGGTTGAGTTACACTTGTCGAAGTCTATATGTGTTTTGCTGCCTAGAATCACACAAATTAAAATAGTAAAAGAAAAAGAGTATGATGGAAAATATACCTATATATAATATATGAGCACATTAGTGCAATACTATGCATCATGGTGCAATATTATGAAATAGCGATATAACGTAGTTGTTAACTTGTTGCGTAAGTGATATAATTTGTTACATAAACAAGGTAAAAACATAAGACGCAATGCATAATGAAACGACACAAGAGAAGATCTGCTTCATGAGATAATGGAGGCTCTATTTACAAAATTAGAATTGTAACCATTATGTACTTAATAACTATGAAAATTTAAGATTGAAATAAATTTCACAATCTACCATGGTAAATATAGTTTTGTTAGATTTTTATTAGAATACTCATATATATATATATATATATATATATATATATATATTCCTTTTTTCCCTATTCATGTCCTTGGCATTTTCTCAAGGCAAAATGGGGGTACCAAGAGTATGTTTCAATTTTTTGTCCTTCTAATTTTGGGGGGTTCTCTTTAAGATCCTGTTCCTAAAGTCAAAGCACATAAAGCATGTGGCTCAACAGCTAACTTCCTTCCTCATTATTTAAGCAAGCTTTTGGTTTGTCACAATTGATTCACTACTACCCACATTCCATATTTTCATGACCCCTGTTAAATGAAAAGAAGATTGAGCTGCCAGAGACTTGGAGTGGTGTGTTATTAAAAACATGGAGATGGAGAGACAAGATGAAATTCAAGACCTTTCGTTGTCCCTTCCAACCATGGGCTCTGTGCATATTGCAGGGAGCAATGCCTTTGGTCACAACATTGAGTTCATGTCTCAAACCTACCTTGGGAATAGGAACTCTCAGATTGATATTGAAGATGATACTTCAATGACAAACAAAGATCACCCTCTTCCTATATTTCTCAAGGTAGTGTGTCTTTTACATTTGGTTTCTTATTTTCATTATACTAGTCAAAAATATTGATGTTTTTGTGCAGACAAGTAAATTTCATAATACTAGACAACATGACACTAGAAATAATGCTCAAAATATTTTGGGAATTCAATTTGTAATGCACTTTGTGTTCATGTGTACATATTTGTACTTTTTACAATATCAAGATCATGTGTGTGTATATATATATATATATGGACACACATATATGATCATATAAAGATCACCCCCTTCCTAACTTTCTTAAGGTAGTGTGTCTTTACATTTGGTTTCCTATTTTCAGGATATTATTCAAAAGAGTACTGTTATATTTGAGGACAGTCGGCTCTCCCGACTACTCACAGAGGCATGTGTAGGCTCTACCATATTGTGTATCCATGTGAGTGGTCGGGGAGTCGGTTGTCGTCAATTACATTTTTTTCCTAGTAAAAAATATTGATGGTTTTGTGCAGGTGAGTAAATTTCAGAATACTAGACACCATGACACTAGAAATTATGCCTAAATTGTTTTGGGAATTCACAATGTAATGCACTTTGTGTTCATCTCTACATAATTGTGCCTTTTACAATATGAAAAAGTAAATTTCAATGACAAATAAAGATCATCCCCTTTCTATATTTCTCAAGGTAGTGTGCCTTTTACATTTGGTTTCTTATTTTCAAGATATTAGTCAAAATATTGATGGTTTTGTGCAGATAAGTAAATGTCATAATACTAGACAACATGACACTAGAAATTATGCCTAAAATGTTTTGGAAAATCAATTTGTAATGCACTTTGTGTTCATATGTACATAATTGTGCTTTTTACAACATGACAAATTCATTAAATTGCTGCATTAATTACTAGATCATATGTATATAAATGTATATAGACACACAAATATTCTGCTTTTCTTTTCATTGCAGTTTGAAGATGTGGAATATAAGGTGAGAATAAGCCAATCTTCTCCTACCAACCCTGTGAAGGCAGTAGTGTCAAAGGTGGCCTCAGAACTGAACATGGAACAAGATAATTACAAGCAGATACTGAAGGGTATAACAAGAAGTAATGGCCGAGGGGAAATTCTCATTCTATTGTTTGGTTGTAAATATAAAATGCGTAGAAATATAATAATAATAATAACCATTCTAATGTTTGGTTGAATCAATTTTAAATTTAGAATTGAATAAATTTCAAATTGAGTTCTCCAAGATATCTCTGTTAGTAACAAATAAATTAAATTAACAAAATGACATTCTTCTATAATTTTTTAAAAATAAAGGGTGGTAGTGGCGGTGGAGGTGGAAAGCGGTAGTGGTATAGGTGGTGGTGTTGGAAGGTGGCGACGGTGGTGGTGAAAAGCGACAGTGGTGGAAGGTGGTGGTGAAAAGTGGCAGTGGTGGAAGGCGGTGGAACTAGTGTGGTGGTAGTGGTGTAAAGAGATAGTGGTGTAGGTGGCAGTGGAGGAAGCTAATGGAGGTGACTGTGGTGGTAGTGGAAGGCAGTGGAGGTGGCGATGGTGGAATGCGGTAGCGGTGGTGTTGATGGAAGGCGATGGTGGCGGTGATGGTGGAAGGCAGTGGCAGTGGTGGTGGTGGAAGGTGGTAAAAGGTGGTGGCGGTGGTGGTGATGGAAGGTGGTGGAAGACGATGGCGGTGGTGGTGGTGGAAAGTGGTGGTGGCAGTGGTGGTGGTGGAAGGTGGTGAAAGGCAATGGCAGCGGTAGCGGTAGCGGTGGTGTAAAATAGTGGCAATGGTGAAAGATAGTGGTAATGGAAGGGGCGATGGCAGCGGTGGTGATGGATGGCGATGGCGGCAGTGGTGGTGGCGGCAGTAAGGGTGGTGAAAGGCGATGGTGGCGGTGGTTGTGGCAAAGGTGGTGTCGGTGGTGAAAAGCAGTTGCAGTGGCAGTGGCGGTAGTGGAAAGCGGTGGGCGGTGATGGTGGTGGAAGGTGATGGTAGTGGTGGTGGTGGTGAAAGGTGGAAGGTGATGGTGATTTTTAAACTTAAAACATGAGGGTTTTTTGGAAAGTTGATTTTTTTTTAAAAAAAATTCTTGGGAATGGATAGGCCATTCCATATGTTTGGTTATGTAATGGATTTTCATTCCAATGGAATGGTCATTCCCACTTTAAATTACATAGGGTTGGAATAAACATATCATTCTTGTACACCAAACTCAGCATTAGAGCATTGGGAAATTTATTTTTTTTTTAGAAAGATTGGCTTTGTTTGGTTAAGTGAAAACAGCTAGAAAAGAAAGGAAAGAGAAAATTTTTAAATGCAAATTATATAGTTATATATACAGAATTTCAATGATAATTTAGGTAAACTTGGTTATAATAGATCCTGCTTCTAAATAGAATTTTTTATTTTTTATTTTTATTCGTCTATTCTATGTTGTAATTCTAGTCGCTCATAATCCCGTTTGGATATATATATATATATATATATATATATATATATATATTTAAAAATGGTGAAATATTTGATTTTTCTCCCAAACAGTACTATTGCCTCTTCATCTTTAATTTTTTATTTTTTAAATTTGTTTATCTTAAACTAATAATTAGTTTTACCTAAAATAATATTATAAAGCCTTATTCTAAATATAAAAAATAGAAATGAATATAAACAATTATATATTTAAATTTAATAATCCATCATTTTCCTTCATAAGGGTAGTTTTGGTATACATAATTACTTTTCTTTTTCTTTTTTTCACTTTCATGCAATCTACTTTCTTTTCACTTTCATGCTATCCAAACTAACAAACTAATATTTTTCTACAATTT